AACTGACTTTACCCCCTTAAAATAAGCTCAGGCTAGAAAAAACATTTCAGAAGCTTATTAATAACCACCCCTCACCCCCATGCCCCCCCAGCCCCCTTTCCTTCCCTTTGTTGTTGCTATGGCCAAGAGTCAAACACACTTGGATGTGTTGTTCATGGTCACCAAAAGCAGTGCCCTGGCCTGCCTTTGGAATGTTGGGAGGTGCTGGGGATCTGCAAGACACATGCTCTACCCTTGAGCCAACCTCAGTGCCTATTACCCCACCCCCACTTTTTTATGTCTCAATGAAACCTGGGCCTTAGCACATGCACAACATGCTCTCTCTTCAGCTATATCACGTACCCTAAAAAAGATCCCCCAAACTGCCGTTGCCACTAACTTAGAATTTTGCATGAAAGAAGGCAAACTTTTATTACTCTCCCTTATAATTTTGTAATAATAAAGGACCGAGCGGGCCCAGTAACATCTCCATTGGAGACTTTGTTGTTACTGTGTTTGGCATATCGAATACATCACGGGTAGCTTGCCAGGCTCTGCCGTGCAGGCGAGATACTCTCGGTAGCTTGCCGGGCTCTCCGAGAGGGGCGGAGGAATCGAACTCGGGTTGGCCATGTTGGCTGCGTGCAAGGCAAACGCCCTACCACTGTGCTATCGCTCCAGCCCTTTGTAATAATAAAGTTAAACTATTATATATTTTAATATTTGTTTTATACTTTCATAGTTTTATATATACATATATGTATATATTTGCTTTTTTTAGATTTTGGATTACACCTGGTGATGCTCAGGAGTTCTTGGCTTTGCACTCAGGAATTACTCCTGACGGTGCTCAGGGGACCATATGGGATGCTGGGGACTGAACCTGGGTTGGACGCGTGCAAGGCAAATGCCCTACCCGCTGTCCTATCACTCTGACCCCCATAGTTCTATTCTTTAAAGTAGATCATAACTGGGGGCTGGAGCAATAGCACAGCGGGTAGGGCATTTGCCTTGCACGCGGCCAACCCGGGTTCAATTCCCAGCATCCCATATGGTCCCCTGAGCACCGCCAGGAGTAATTCCTGAGCGCAGAGCCAGGAGTAACCCCTGTGCATTGCTGGGTGTGACCCAAAAAACAAAAATAAATAAATAAAATTAAAAAAATAAAGTAGATCATAACTAACTTCATTTAATGAATTAAGATTATAATAATTTTGTAATCATTGTAATAGCTGAGGTAGTACTGGAGATTTTTATGAATGAAAGGGGATTTACAGTATCAAAGTGCAGTAAATAGTTACTTAGTGCCATCAAAGTCCGTAAGGCTGTAAAGAATTATCTTTGGTGTCTTTTTTTTTTTTTATATAAACATGCATTGAAAAATGACAGAACTGCCTCTCTTACAACGTTTTAAGCTACTTGCTACATTTCCCATCTGCCTTTTCAGTTTTCTGGAAGGACTTCTGTATTTTGATGGTTCGCGTGTCTATTAATTTCAAGCTGCTGGGTGACTTGACAAGCTGTGATTAGTCTTGGCAGGGGTTGGAGCTTTCTGTGTAGCTCATGGTGCTGTGTCATGGCACTGTGCCCCGGCAGCATTGGGGGGGCTCCTGTTAGGGCAGTGTTGCCCAAAGGAACCATACCCCTGCCAGGGGTCACTGGGCTATCCAGGAGGCAGTAATGGCCACAGGCACCATTGTGGGGCCTGATCTGTTCAATTTACTGATTTGTTCAGTTTAATTTTTGCAGAGTAGGATGGGAGAGAGGGGCTAGGGGAACCACATCTGACAGCACTCAGAGTCTTGGGGATTACTGCTCCTGGGGATCCAGTTGGGGTCTGCTTCATGTAAGGCATGCATACTTTGGCTCATGAACCTCTTTCTAACCTCAGGCCTGTTTCATTTTTGGATGGTTTTCTGTTGTAAAATGAACCAAAATATTTCTTAAAAATTCACTTCACTTATCACTTAATCCCCGTTATTCATCGATTTATTCGAGCGGGTGCCAGTAACGTCTCCATTCATCCCGGTTGCGTGCTAGCGTAGCCCAATGGTATCTGTTCGTTCTAGGAACATGCAGAGCCTCAAACCGATCATTTAGGGTCTTGACGAAGAAGTCTGACCATCTTATAGGTGGGTGTCCACGTGATCTTTTGATGTCTCGTGGAATCCAATCAGTAATGGCTCTAGTCCAGCGGTTGTCTGTAAACCTCATTATGTGTCCAGCCCATCTGATTTTTGATGTCTTGGCAAATGAGACAGCGTCCCTGATTCTTGAGCGTTGACGAAGATCAGAACTCCGAATTCTATCTCTCATTTGAGTGAATCGTGATATTCCAAGCATAGTTCTTTCGATTCCTCTTTGAGAGACCCGAATAGCGTTCTCATCCTGTTTTCGTAGGGTCCAGGTCTCTGAGGCATATGTTAATGCAGGAAGAATAGTGGAATCAAAGAGATGTGCTCGTAGCTGGAGGTTCTTTGTCCTTTTAGTTATTTCTTCAATGCTCTTGAAGGCATTCCAAGCCGCTCTCTTCCTCCTGCGCAACTCAGGTGCCAGGTCATTCATCATGTTGATTTCTCGACCTAGGTATATATAACTGTTGCATTCGGAGATGGTGGTTCCGTTGAGAGCGAATGGAGCGTCAGGAACAAGGCTGTTTCTCATAAACATTGTCTTCGTAAGATTCAGCTGTAGTCCAATCTTTCCACATTCACGGTCAAAGTCGTTCAGCATTTGTGCCGCTTGGCTGATGTTTGGTGTTATTAGAACGATGTCATCAGCAAAGCGGAGGTGGTGTAGTTGCCGACCATCTATCTTCACTCCCATGTTTTCCCATTCCAGTTGTCGCATGATGTTCTCGAGGGTGGCACTGAAGAGTTTTGGTGAAATGGTATCACCCTGCCGAACCCCTCTCTTGATATGGATGATTACTTCTTTGTAGAATGGTGAGATCTTGGTAGTGAATCCGCAATAGAGCTCACGAAGGATCCTGATGTATTGAGTTTGTACGCCCTGATTGGCTAGGGCTTCCATGACCGCTTCCGTCTCAACAGAATCAAAGGCCTTCTTTAAATCAATGAATGTTAGACAGAGCGGCATCTTGAACTCCCGAGATACCTCAATGAGCTTGGTTATTGTGTGGATATGGTCGATGGTACTGAATCCTTTTTGGAATCCAGCTTGTTCACATGGTTGTCCTTCATCTAGTGTTCTGCTAATCCTATTCAGGATGACTCGAGTGAATAGTTTGTAGATGACAGACAATAGGCAGATTGGGCGATAGTTGCCAATGTCGTGGATGTCTCCTTTCTTATATAGTAGTACAGTCCTGCTGGTTTTCCATTGGGATGGAACCTTGCATTCAGACAGGTAGCGTGTGAAGAGTCGAGCCAATGTATTGATGAGTACTGATGGTAAGTTCTTCAGTTGTTCAGATCTGATCTTGTCTGGGCCAGGTGCTCTTTGTTTCTTTACCGACGAGATGGCATGTTGGATTTCGGAAGGGAGAACATTGGGAACGACATATCCATCATGTGGTATGTGGTATGTGGGCAAGTGGATGTGGCTATTAAAGAGATCTGAGTAGAAGTCATGAATAATCTTCTCCATTGCCCTTCTGGAAGATGTGATAGATCCATCAATGATGTCGGAGGGCAGTCATCTTGGTTTTGTAGTTGGTGAAGGTCAGGCGGGCATTACGAATGTTTTTCCCAGCTTCTGCTACATCTACCAGTACTGCTGCTCTCCTGTTTTTGAGGTCATCCTTGATGGCTTCTCTGCACTGTTTTGCCAGTTCGGATGTTTGCTTGTGGTTGCCTGAGGCATGTGCCAAGCCACGTTGGCGAATAAGTTCAAGAGTGTTCGAAGAAAGACGGGTTTTTGTGGTTATCTCTCTCTTGGCATTCCTTGCACAATCATGGAGGTGCTGAATCATTCGATCGTATTCCTCATCAATGTTGTCAATGACGGCATCTTCCCATGTTGCCGCAATAGAGCCAAAGAGCTCCCAGTTGGTGGTTGTTCTGGGAGTCCTTTTCTTAAACCTTGCATTCTTTTCTCCTCATTCTGTGAGGTAGAATTTTGCATGAAGAAGACGGTGGTCTGATCCCGTTTGGAATTTTGGGACAACAGCAACATCGGTTAGGCAAAACCGCCGATTGAATATGATGTGGTCTATTTCATTGTGGAACCATCCATCGGGAGACTCCCATGTCCAACGTTTAGATTCAGCCTTTTGGAATTGTGAGTTACCATGGAAGGTTTTGGTTGACATGATGAACTCAGACAGTCTGTCACCCTGTTCGTTCCATTCCAGGTGTAATTCCATTCCATTCCATTCCATTCCATTCCATTCCATTCCATTCCATTCCATTCTTAAAAATTAGGACTTAAAAATACTGGAGAGAAAAGTACAGCTCTAAGTAAGGGTGAAATGAGAATTGTGTCAAGTGCAGGGCTAGTGCAGACAGTGTGGTCATTGGGAGGAGGAGACAGAATGGCTGGGGAGCATCTACTTCCTGTTTTGAATTGGTCATTGTATTTGCTGATTTCAGAAAATCATTGCTGTTACATTAAAGGGCTAGAGTGATAGCACAGCGGGTAGGGCGTTTGCCTTGCACGCAACCGGCCTGGCTGAACCGGGTTCGATTCCTCCACCCCTCTCAGAAAGCCTGGCAAGCTACCGAGAGTATCTCACCCGCACGGCAAAGCCTGGCAAGCTCCCCATGACATATTCAATATGCCAAACACAGTAACAACAAGTCTCACGATGGAGACGTTACTGGGCCTGCTCGAACAAATCGATGAACAGCGGGAGGACCATGACTATGACCGTTACATTAAAACTGTTCTGCTTGAAAACAGAGTTACCATCAGTATTTGCATGCATCAACCTACCAACACCAACCTCTCCATGATTTCCTGTTGTTTTCAGGAGTGAATGATCCAGTCATTAATTTGAGCTGTGAAGTTACTGATGCCCTTCTGTGTACTGGCCCCTTATGCATATGCTTTCTTCCCAGGTTGCCTATCCCCAAGCTTGAAGACACCATGAGAAGATACCTCAGTGCGCAGAAGCCACTCTTGGATGATGGTCAATTCAGGTACATGCTGAAAACTCGAGCTACTAGCTCAGGGAGTTCCCGATAGGTGGCCAGTAGGTGGAGCAAGCCTCAGCGAGTGTCTGATCTGAGTGGGTTGTCAGGAACTTGGGGACTAGTCTCTACATTGGCAAATTCAGAAACTAGATTTTCATTCGTGAAGAGCTGACTCTTCCTGGGGTTGAGAGTCTACCAAACTGGACAGATTTGTAAGCCCCAACCTGATATGTATCTGGATAAGTTATTCCATCCTTCTAAGGGTCAGATAATGTACGACTTTATAAGACTGAAAAAAATATTCAGAAAGCTAAGGATCAGGGCTGGAGTCATGATAGAGTAGTAGGTAGGGCATTTGCCTTGCATGTGGTTGACCTAGGTTCAATTCCTGCCATCCCATATGGTCCCCCCCAAGCACCACAAGGAGTAATACCTGAGCTCAGAGCCAGGAATAACCTCTCCCTGAGCATTGCTGGGAGTGGCCCCCAAACAAAAAGAAAACTAAGGATCTGGATACCTTGAAACATAACACTTCATAACTGGTAGTAACAAATATGTAAAGGCAAAGGACTGGATTCTGAATACTTGGTCTTTTCATTACCATCCAGTGAAGGACTGTGATTCAAATGACAAAGCATACAACTATAAGCACACAAAAGTTCCATTACAGAAAAGTACTACTCTAGGTTCAATCCTACCCAGGAATTAAGTACTCCTTGCGGATTCAAAATACTTATCCAGTACTTTGATATTTTGATAACATCCAATATCATTTTTCTAATTCCATGCTGTATTCAGTTTCAAGTACTGCCATAACAAGATATCACAAAGTGGATAGATTAAAACAATAAAAACTGGGGCTGGAGTGATAGAACAGCAGGTAGGGCATTTTCCTTGCACGTAGCTGACCTGGGTTCGATTCCCAGCATCCCATATGGTTCCCTGAGCACCACGAGGAGTAATTCCTGAGTGCAAAGCCAGGAATAACCCCTGGATGTGACCCAAAAAGCCAAAAATTTAAATAATAATTAAAAAAAACCAATAAAACCCGGGGAGTAAGAGGAATAAGCTTAGTGGCTAAAAGCATCTGCGTTGCACGCATGAGGCCCTGGGTTTGATCCCCGGGGCCTCCTACACCTGAAAGCTCTGCTCTCTGGAACCCTCAGCACCACAACCAAAATGTGGTCTCTGGCCCCAGCTGAGTTAGTGAGCATGGGTGTGAGCAGTGGGTCAATCCCTGGTGAGCACGACTTAATGACTAAAACCCACAGCGAGAACATGTGCAAGCAACAAAAGTAAACCCTCGCAAGCACTGCCAACAAGTCTAAAAGTTACATCTGGATTTCAAACTTGGCTGTTTTTGACTGAAAGCACATGTGCTTTTCTCTATGTCTAACTGCCTCCCAGATTATAGCTTGTTTTCGGAAATATTTAATGTTCCTATCCAATCATTTTATTTATTTATTATTTATTTGTTTGTTTTCATTTTGGGTCACACCCACCAATGCTCAGGGGTTACTCCTGGCTCTGCATTTAGGAATTACACCTGGCGGTGCTTGGGGAACCATGTGGGATACCGAGGATTGAACTCGGGTCAGCTGCATGCAAGGCAAACGCCCGACTGCTATACTATCGCTCCAGCCCCCTATTCGATCATTTGAAGCAGCTATCTTGGGTTTTTCCATTGTTTGTTTCTTCCTATTCTTGATCTCAGTCTCTGGGTTCTAGGGATGTGCTATTGGGACTCAAAGCTCGCTGCATGCATTCTTGGCCATTAATCCCAAAACTCATATATTCCCTGCCACAGTCTGATCCCATTTTTCTTGAACATTTCAGGAAAACAGAACAATTTTGCAAGAGTTTTGAAAGTGGGATTGGAAAAGAACTGCATGAGCAGCTGGTTGCCCAGGACAAACAGAATAAACATACCAGCTACATTTCAGGTGCGTAGGCTGAGCTGTGGCTCTGCTTTTCCCTGGCGCTACCATCATGGAAAGTAAGGCATTTTCTCTTCTCTTTTGGCCTCAAAAGATATTTTTTGGTGAGATCAGCACTGCAGTGATGTCTCACCCTCTCTTTCCAAGGTGGATTGAGACTGCATTGCTTTTACACTCAGGTGCTGGCTGAATCTGAACAGCAAACCTGTGCTCTGGATACAGGCCAGGCAGAATGTCCTCAGTGCTTCTGTCTGGAAAGGATCAGGACAGAGTCTGGTTTCTAGGTCCTCTCTCTGGCCTTCTCCCTTATCACTCCCCAGCATACTGTAGTTACAAAACTGAGCCATTCTTGTTCCTCAGCCTGGGTCTTTTATTCTCCCTACCTCTGTCCACATTACTTCCACTACCATTTTGTTATCTGACAAATTCTTCCTTTATTTTTATTTATTTATTTATTTTGCTTTTTCGGCCACACCATGTGATGCTCGGGCTTACTCCTGGTTCTGCACTCAGGAATTACTCCTGGCAGTGCTTGGGAGACCATATGGGATGCTGGGGATTGTACCCAGGTCGGCCTTGTGCAAGGCAAATGCCCTATCCACTGTACGATCTCTCCAGCCCCCAAATTCTTCCCTTAGGAGCCAGGCAGAATGGATTTTCTCCGAAGACTTTCAGCTCTTCTTCATCCAGTGTTACTTGCTTCCACTCTGGTCCCCTCCGCACTTCTTTTCACTTAGTTTCATATATATTAAGGTTCAATAGACAGTGCATGTAGCTTGAAGAATCAAAGAGTTCCAAAAGTTAGGGCAGATAGGAAAGATAGGAAAGTGCCACCCTCCCCTCCTTTCTCACTGTAAGTTTCAACCTGATTCCTTTGATAACTAGCCCATTCTCAAAGTTATTTACTTAGATGACCACATAGTTTTAGGCCTTTGTACATCCCTCAATGTGCATGTCCACTTATATATGTGGTAAGGATGTGGATGCCAACGTCTAGCCTAGAATCACACACATATGTATGCATGCACACTTCCTCTTCCACCTTCACGGGCTGGTAATTTGTAATTTGCTTAGCACAGTGGTTATATTTCCATAGTTAGGATCATATAAGTGCTGTTGCCAGCTTAGTTGTGTAGCACGTGGGGACTGCTTTTCCTTTCCAATACCCTTTTGTTTTCTCTGCATTCAATACTAGACTTTGTTTTATTTTCTATGCATCTAATAATTTATCTGGGACTTTTAAAAAGTTCCTATCTTTCCTCATTGTCTCCAGGTTGCATTTTTTCTTGTTTTGACCCCCATATTTGAGGGATCCCCAACATGCTCAGGAGCCCCACAGCCACTCCCCGTGATCTGGCTGTGCACACCTGACAGTTTGGTGCTCACTGTGCATCTCTGAGGTGCTGAGAGCCATCAGGGCCATAAAGAGGGATACTCAGGCGCTCCCAGGACTACCCGCTGCAGTGCTGGAGGTTCAAGGACTGAACTCACGGCCCTGAGCACCAGCAGGCCCCCAGTTGTTGCGCTCTCTTCTCAGCCTCTTGTCTTCCCTTCTTTCCTTAGATGCTTCTAATCCTCCTCTGCCGTCCTGGTTCTCAGTGAGGCAGTAAAAGCTCCAGAAGGGCTGGAGCACATGCTGTCATGCAGGAGGCCCAGATTTGAATCCTGGCACTGCATGGTCCCCAGAGCACAGCCAGTAATTTTCTGAACACTGAGTCAGGAGTAGCCCCTGAGCACCACAGAGTGTGGCCCTAAATTCTGCAAACAATTTTAAAACAAAAAACAAACAAACAAAAAAAAAAACAGACAAACTTCCTCAGAGTTCCTGAAGCTCTGCATGAGGGTAGGACTTGTCACCTACATCTCATTGTAATGCAATCACATGCTCTGGCTAAGCAACTAATGTCTGTGTCCTGGGGTCAGAATCCAGAGAGGCTTTTCCATTTAAGCAACAAAAGGATTGTCCCAATTGCCGGTGTTGTAGGAGTAGGGAAAGGGAAGAAGGCTTGAAAGCTCAGCTGAGACTTATGCCCCAGTTTCACTTTCTCCAGAGGATGATTTAAATCTTCTACAAGAGTGGGGAGAGACGCTGGGGAACAAGATGTCTAATTCAGCAGTTTCCAGCTAGATATATCAGAGCTGCCAACTACTCAGCCCTCTGAGGGTTCTACTGTACCTACTGTATTATTTCTGGGCTTTCTCTGCTGCCCACGGAGGTTGGCTTTCTTGAGTGGGCTTTGGTCATAACAGTGCCAGATTGCTTTCCAACTTGCAATATTTTCTCTTTTCTCCTCTTGTTCCCTTTGTCAATTGGTTATGGCTCATTAAAGGTCATTTACTGAAATTATTTAATGTCTAAATTCATACCTTCTTTCATCAAATGTATCTTACATCCTCTGTACTTCTTATTTTAGTGCACTGCATTATCTCATTCTGTCTCCTCGTGCAGTATTTTCTTCCTTCACCAGAGTGCTTCTGAATCAAAGTCGATGCCATATTCCTGTCTATATTCTGTATCTTCTATATAATATATCTTCTATATCATATATATCCTATCCTATATTCCAATATCCAGGACACTGACTCAAGGAATGAAATGGAGGGAAGGGGCCAAAAAATGAACAGTTGCTAAGTTTATGTTTATTAATCCTTTCCCCAGTGCTTTACTTGTGAAAAGTAATTCCCTCAGTGGAAGATGGTCCCAACTGGCGTTTACCATGCCTGCCTATTCCAGCAGGAATATCCCTGGAAGACACATTTTTAGATAAAAAAAAAATTGCTTCTGATAGTTTTTCTTGTGTATTGTTTTGGTTTTGGGCTATACCCAAGAGCGCTCAGGACTTATTTCTAGCTCTGTGCTCAGGAGTCATGCCTGCCTGGTGGTACTCAGGGGACCATATGCCTTGACAGGGATCAATCCTGGGTCAGCTGAAGACCAGTGCCATGCCAGCTGTTTTATCTCTCTGACCCTGCCAAAACATCTACAGAGAAGGCAGAGGGCTTGTTTGAGTGATCCACATGTCTGGATAATTACTTCTAGTGTCTTTTGAGCATTTCCTAAGAGAGGGAGTGCTTGGATATTCAAAGTGCACGGAATAAGGGTGAATATCCTTTCCCCCTCAACTCCCCTTCCCCTCACCCCAGTAAGGACACACCACGTATGAATGTTGTCTTTGAAAGGAAATAAAGCAAGAGAAACCCTAAGGAGACAGGGTAGGAACTGTTCTGTTTCAACTCTTCTGTTTCAGCATGAATACGAGTGTGGTGTTACTGTATTTCCTTTTTGCTTTCTGTTTTTAGGCCACACGTGGCAGTGTTCAGGGCTTACTCCTGGCTCTGAGCTCAGGGATCACTCCTGGCAGACTCGGGGGACTATATGGGGGTGCCAGGGACAACCCAGGTCAGCCGCATGCAAGGCAAGTGCCCTACCCTGTACTATCTCTCGAGCTCCCATATTTATTCTTTTAAGAACTAAGAAAGTAAACAAATGAGGAAATGTGGTTATTAAACTTTGGGGAAATGCAAAGCAAAACTAATGATATACCCACCAGAATGACTCCAATTAAAAAGACAGACATTAACTGTCACAGATGACATTGAGGATATGGGGAACTTGGAATCCTTGCTCATGGCTGACGGTGGTGGTGCAGCCACTTTGGAAGACACCCTGCAGTTCCTCAAAAGGTCACAGCTTGCTGCAAGGCAGTTCCACTCCTAGTGGGACTCCCTGGAGAGCTGCAGGCATAAATGCACACAATGACTTGTACATATCAGTACTATCCATCACAACCAAAACATGGAAGTAAGCCAGATAGCCATCAGCTGATGAACAGAAAAATAGGATGTGACACAGCCAGCCACATAATGAACTTAGTAATCAAAAGAAAAGAAGCATTTGATATGTGTCACAAAAATGGGGTCATAAAGATATTGTTCAGGGGCTGGAGCGATAGTACAGTGGGTAGGGCATTTGCCTTGCACGCGGCCAACCTGGGTTCAAGTCCCAGCATCCCACATGGTCCTTTGAGTACCGCCAGGAGTGATTTCTAAGTGCAGAGCCAGGAGTAAACCCCTGTGCCTCGCCAAGTGTGACCCAAGAAGCCAAAAAAAAAAAAAAAAAAAAAAAAAAAAGATATTGTTCAGTGAGAGAAACCAGATGTTTGCATCAAGATTTATGTTTGCATCAAGCCAGTAAGCAGTCATAAATTATTGCAGCGTAAAAATAATTGGAAAATTCCACCAGATTTTGGAGATTGATGCCATTTTTTTCTATGTCTATATTTCCCTTTCTGAAATTTTATTTTTAGAGCTTGCATTAACTTGTTGTGGTCCTTTCTCCTCTTCCCCACCCCCCCCCCCCTTTTTTTATTTTAGGCCCTTGGTTTGATATGTACTTAACTGCCCGCGACTCTGTGGTTCTGAACTTTAATCCATTTATGGCATTCAACCCTGACCCAAAATCTGAGTACAATGACCAGCTCATCCGGGCAACCAACATGACGGTCTCTGCCCTCCGGTTTCTGAAGACACTCCGGGCTGATCTTCTGGAGCCAGAAGTGTTCCACCTGAACCCAGCCAAGAGCGACACGGATACCTTCAAGAAACTCATCCGCTACGTGCCATCCTCACTGTCCTGGTACGGTGCCTACATGGTCAATGCTTACCCCCTGGACATGTCTCAGTTTTTCCGCCTTTTCAACTCAACCCGTGTGCCCAAGCCCAGTCGGGATGAACTTGTCACGGACGACAAGGCCCGGCACCTCCTGGTCCTCCGCAAAGGACATTTCTATGTCTTTGATGTCCTGGATCAGGAAGGCAATATTCTGAGTGCCCCGGAGATCCAGGCTCACCTGAAGTTCATTCTCTCCGACAACAGCGCCGCCCCCGAGTTCCCGCTGTCCTACCTGACCAGCGAGAACCGGGACGTGTGGGCAGAGCTCAGGCAGAAGCTGCTGAGTGCTGGCAATGAGGCGGCGCTGCACAAGGTGGACTCGGCCGTGTTCTGCCTCTGCCTGGATGACGCACGCATGACGGACCTGGTGCACCTGTCCCACAACATGCTGCATGGGGACGGCGCCAACCGCTGGTTCGACAAGTCCTTTAGCCTCATCCTAGCAGCGGACGGCACCGCTGCCGTCAACTTCGAGCATGCCTGGGGCGACGGGGTGGCAGTGCTCCGTTTTTTTAACGAGGTGTTTAAAGATAGCACTCAGAGGCCGGCCATCTCGCCGCAGAGCCAGCCGGCCCGCACCGACTCTGCTGCCGCCGTGCAGAAACTCAGCTTCCAGCTGAATGATGCCTTAAAAACGGGAATCAGCTCCGCGAAGAAAAAGTTTGAGGCCACCATGAAGACCCTCACCATCGACTGCATCCAGTTTCAGAGAGGCGGCAAGGAGTTCCTGAAGCAGCAGAAGCTGAGCCCGGACTCGGTGGCCCAGCTGGCCTTCCAGATGGCCTTCCTGCGCCAGTACGGGCAGACGGTGGCCACCTACGAGTCCTGCAGCACTGCGGCGTTCAAGCACGGCCGCACGGAGACCATCCGACCTGCCTCCATCTTCACCAAGCGCTGCGCCGAGGCCTTTGTCAAGACCCCCTCCAAGCACAGCACAGCGGAGCTGCAGCAGATGTTGGCCGAGTGCTCCAAGTATCACAATCAGCTGACCAAGGAGGCGGCAATGGGTGAGCCAGGGCGGGGAGCAGGCCCCCGGGGCTCAGCCCAGCAGTCGCCTGGCTTACCTCAGGTGTCCACCCCTAACTAGGTTTAATCCACCTGCTAGCTTCAGAGAGATAATCTTTCTGCCCTGGCGGTGTGGCGGGTTGAGCCCACTCTGAGGCAGCTGGGTTCACAGAGCCTGGGTGGGATAATGCATCCCCATCACCCTGCTCAGGTGACTGTCAATTGTGATACCGCTCCCTGTATTTTTTCTATCCCTCTCTCTCCACGTCAGTTGTAGACTGTTGATTGGTTTTCTGGAAATAAGCCATCTTAGAAGCTCTTCTCCATCTGAAAGTATTCCTTCTTTGCCTCTTTTGCATGAAACTCAAGATCTGAAGGACCTAGAGGCTCATATAGGTTAATGCTTTTATTATGTAGGCTGATGCACAGTTCCAGCAACTGGCAGGAACCTCTAAGGTCTTCTGGTCTTCAATTATGGGTATAAAACAGGTAACCAGGGGCCAGAGACTTAGTACAGTGGACAGGGAGCCTTGCATGTGGCTGACCTGAACCGGATCTCAGGCACTCCATATGGTCCCCTAAACCCCTCCAGGAGTGATCCGTAAGCAAGCTAGGAGTAAGCCTTGAGCATCACCTAGTGTGGGCCCAAAACTAAAAACAAAACAGGTGTCCTGAATTATACAGGTCAGTAGTGAGGCTGAGGTTAGAATGCTATTCAAATATCCTCTTCATTTTGTTCTGCTGGGGCCAGAATGATAGTACAGTGAGTAGGGTGCTTACTCTGCATGTGGCCAACCCAGATTCGATCCCTGGCCAGGAGTGATTCCAGAGTGCAGTCAGCAGTAAGCCCTAAGCATCGCCAGGTGTCGCCCACCCAACCCCTCCCACTCCCCACAAAAAAGTTCCATTTATTCCTGCTGACTTAGCTTTTCTGCTTGTTTGTTTTCCACCTGGACTTTATTTTTTTGGCGGGGGGAGGCGGCGGGTAGCCAACGATTTGTGCTCCAGAACTGTCTTCTGGGCCCCCAATTTCAGATTTTTCTTTTAAAGTATGCTTTCATTGTAGGCTCTTTTGTAGTTCAGCAATTGACAGCTCTTTTGATTTATTTTTGCAGTGCTCCAGACTTAGTCCTGGCACTGCATTCAGGATCACTCTGGTAGGCTCTTGAGGTATGTGGTACCACGTGTTGAACCAGAGTCAGCTGTGTGCAAGGCAAGCGCCTTACCTGCCCAGGTCCTTGGCAGCTCTTTCTAAAGAAAATGTTCTAAGAATAGAGATTTTCAGTTGCCAACACGTGGACAGTGTGCAGGTGTAAAAAGGTTGAAAACAGCTACTGTAGAAAGGCATCAAGACATCACAGAGGTTAGCGAGCGGAGGTGTGGACAGGCCCTTCCAGGGGCTGAGAGGGGTTCCATCACGTGCTCAAGTCTTGCCAAGGCCCCTTCAGATCTGAGACTGAGACTTTCCGCTTTTGTCCCACAGGTCAGGGCTTTGACCGACACCTGTTTGCTCTGCGGTACCTGGCAGCAGCCAGAGGGCTTGGCCTGCCCGAACTATACCAGGACCCCGCGTATAAGCAGATAAACCACAACATCCTGTCCACAAGCACGCTGGCCAGTCCTGCAGTGAACCTTGGTGGCTTCGCTCCTGTTGTCCCTGATGGCTTCGGCGTTGGCTATGCTGTTCATGACAACTGGATAGGTTGCAACGTTTCCTCCTACCCCAGCCGCAATGCACAGGAGTTTCTCCACTGTGTGCAGAAGGCTTTGGGAGACATTTTTGATGCCTTAGAAGGCAAAGCCATCAAAACGTAACTTCCGGGAGGCAGAAGTTCCCCATTGCTTCATTGGCATGAGAGTGGGACCCACCTAGCCAGTAAGTGCTGTTCTGTGACTAATGAAACTCATCGTGCAGTGCGAGAGCCGCTTACAGCTCTACAGCTGCAGGCCGCCTCCAGCCAGGACTAGGTCACTACTAAGATAATGGGAGACTCCACTTGTAAGCACGCTTGATGCGGAGTAAGATTTGGAAAACTAACTCAGGTTTATTTATTGATGAAGCATCAATAAAATTCAATTGTTGCTTGGGTTAGTTCTTTTCTGGCTAACCACGTTTCTGATCCCCATAAAGCACTTCCCAAAAGAATATAAATTTAAGTTTCCATTGGCTCCTGGCTATAAACATCTGTCTCCTGGGACATCCTCTTATTTTGAAGTGGTGGGGAGAGATGGGGGAGGGGCTGGGCCACTCCTGGCTTGGTGCTTGGGACATGCTGTGCCAGAATTCAAACACAGGGCCTGACAGATGCAAGTGTTATAGTCTTTGAGCCATAGGCCTGATCCAGGACATCTTCCCAAATGCTCTTGCAGGCTCAAGGCCCTAAAGCATGGCTGGCTTAGTCGTGGAGGGCCCCAGGCACTGCTGGATTACCCCTACTCCACTTCCCACCTCCACACAAATCACACAAATCCTTTTCATGTCCCTAAGGGCTTAACCAGGCTCCTTGGTTGTGGCAGTCCTGCAGAGCACACTGTCTCCTGAGTGCTCTTCTGACTGCTCACTTCGTCTCATCTTTCTGCCAAACCCTGTGCTGCTTGGGTAGGGACCTTGAGAGCCCACGTCAAACCTGGGCCTCCCAGCATGCAGCCTGCCTGCTGAGCTGGTCTCCAGCCCAGATATCTCACTTAGGAAACGTGCCTTCTGCTCTCGCTCTTCCTGAGGTTGAAGGTAGTTCCTCTGTTTTATACCTAGTAGACAAACAGTTTTTATAGTTGTTTCTGTTGAATGGGTGCTGAATTTTACCTATCATTTTTTGCATCTATTGATGTAATCTTTTATTTCGTCTGTTAGGATTATTTGGATTTGACTCCTGAAAGATGAGAGGGGATGGAGGGAGGGAGAAGATAGGAGACACTGTGTTTATTTGAGGCTGGGGGGATGCTGGCTGAGGGAGGAAACCTTAAGTGGCTGCCAGATTGGGGAAGTGCACTGTCTACCATCCATGGGCACAACCTACTCTGCCTGAGTTCCAAGGAGTCCTTCCCAGTGCTACACAGACTGCCTGGAGGGGGCACACCCTTTCCCGGTGGCTTTCTCAGAAAACCCAAAGAACTCCGGACTATAGCAGAACACTGGACAAAGGGCTTTCCAGATGTACAAGCGCATGCCCCCATAAACCCCAGACCCTGGCCTCAAGGCAGAGTTGTAGCCAAAGGGACAAAGCAGGGCCATCGGGAGATACTATTAGGTGCACAGACCAATGCTGTAGCGTGGTGGCTGCCCCATGGGAGGGAGTGGGGCACAGCAAGTGAGGGGAGGCCCTTCTTCCAGGGGGATTCTGTACAACCCTTGCCCCCACTCCCAGACTGACCTCTGCAGCCCTCTCAGGCCCTGAGATACACAGGAACGTCAGCCAACAGAGCCCACAGGGGCAATGCAGTGTTTGCGCACCAACTACTAGGCCCGCAGCATCATTCCACAGGCTGGCTGCCCTGTATCCGCCGGACCCGCCCCTCTGAGGCGACTGCCAAGAACTGGCCGGCTTCAGAAGATGTGTGCTCCTGCGTATTTTGCAAACTGGATCAAGCGCAGGATTTATTTCCGTAGGAAGGCGCCAGGAAGCTGCCCAAGACACGTCCCTGCATTCTTCTGTGTGAGGAGTGGCAACTCCCTGACCACCTCCACACGTTGGGGCAGCACAACCACAAGCTTTATTGTGGGAACCAGTCCAGCATGCAGGCCCCGAGGGTGCGCAAGGCTGCCAGGGGCAGAGGGAGGAGTGGTCCAGCCTCGGGTGCTTTTCTCAGTTCTGACAGGCAAGGGTGCAGGAAATGGAGGTCAGCATTTCACGAACTGGTGGGTGACCTCGTAGATTCCCACCGACTCCTGAGCCTTTTCGTCATAATCAGTCCAGTCCTGTGGAAGAGACAGCAGCGTGAGCCTCGCGCCGTGCAGGGAGCAGCAGCACTGGGGGCCCGAGGAGGCTCTGGCTAGATATTCACGCATCCGCTGTCCCAGAGCAGAGCCAGACTGCTCAGGTCTGAAGCTCCGTGTGTCCAGCTGTGTGTCTGGGGGCAAGCCATGTCTCTTCCCTGAGTCTCAGTTCTGTCCTCCATGAAAAAGGAGTGACCACCAACGTCACAGTGATTACTGACAGAAAATCAGGCAGGAATGCATGGAAAGGTGCTCAGCACCCTGCTGGCAGCTACAAGCTCAGTGCTCAGAAACGCTGGTTGGTTACGATTACGTGCTGTGCAAAACTGACGTTTTCTCCTTCCTTCCTGAGGCCACATCACAAGACTTCCTTATCTTGGGCGGAAAAGGTCCCAAAACAAAGCAGAATCTTGTAAGTTTTTAAAGCCAACACAGACATGTGGCGGATGGATCCCCGCGTCTGCTTAGGGGAACTCAGGCTTAGCTCCCTGCTGGGCCACTGGTCACGTTTTCCTCAACCCATCAATGCACAACCTTGCCTAATGCAAGGTTCTGTTTTAAAACATCTTATTTATGTTGAACTAAATGTTGAATTTGTGGCGAGCAATCCTGGAAGACAGGCCTAAGCCCAACTTAGCAAACCTATGTTTACATAGCCAGTTTTCAAGATGGCACTTTTTGCCTCCTAAGTACCCAAATCTCAGCTAAAATACACAAAGATTCAGTCAAGTTTGCACCCATAGACCCTGACACCCAGGGGCTGCTTCCCACCAGGTGAGACCTGTACCTTCTCCTGCAGATTAATGTCACTGAAGGCCGTCCCGGATTCCACGCCCTCGGCAGCAAAGCCAGCCTGCAGTGAAGGGAGGAGATGGTGTTGGTCTTGGGGGAGGCGGTACTGGATGCTCAACTACTGGGCGTATCATACCACTGGGACAGAGACGCAGGAACAACTGTTGAGCTCCCTGGCAGTGGCCCAGGAACCAGAGCGGTTCCCGAGAGAAGAGCCCAGCCCCAGTGCAGGTGTCTGGGACAAGCCCTTCCACTACCTTCAACGTGTGTGTGTGTGTGTGTGTGTGTGTGTGTGTGTGTGTGTGTGTAGTTGCAGCATTGGGAATCTGGGGGGCACTCAGTGACGCAGGATGGTGCTGGGAATGGAACTCAAAAACTGTTGCATGCTCTGAGCCCCATCCCTGGGCCCCTGACTTTCTGAAAACCCTAGACATGTCACCTTGCTGGACCTCAGTTTTCTTATCTGTGAAAGGGGGCGATAGACTCCCTCTGCCTATTTCACAGAAGTGCTGTGGGGTGACCTGCCCTAGGTTTAAACTATAGCTCAAGAGCTTACTCACTGCAAGTCCCCAAATATCAGACGTTCTTTACTCATTGGAAAAATAGGTTGCATGACTTCCCAGGATCACTATTAAACAAGGAAACAAGTAGAAATGATGGGCCTGGCCTGGTGCTTAACATCCAGCAGGAGCTTAGTGCCAGTTCAGCAAGGAGGCAGCCAGCTTCTGCCTCTTCCCTGGACCCTCCCCTAGGACACACACTTCCCTGGAGACACTCACCTGGGGCTGGAAATCCACTGGCTCCAGGCCCCGGCACTCAAACTCCACGATCGTCTTAAACTTCTCATTGTCTTCAGCCTGGAAAGACAGGAGGAGGCAGGCCCAAAGGGGTCCTAAGAATTACTCCCTGGTCCCTGCTCCATGGTCAACTGAGTCTGATTGCCCCTAGTGCCCCTAGGAGCCTGGCCCAGGGCCTGGGGTCCATACATCCTTTCTAGGAGACGGTCCCAGCATCTGCTTTCCATGTTCAGGTGAACACAGATGCTGAGGATTAGTTCAGATTCTGGGATCAGCCTGCCTGAATGTGATCCCAGAGCTCTGCCTCCCATGGCCTGTGTGTCTAAACCTGTAAATGGATTTGAGAAAATGGCTCCTGGGTAACTGTGAGGCTCTGAACTGTTCACCCAGCAGACACCTATTTTGCTCAATAAAGCTGAATTATCAGTATCAAAACTATGACAAGAACGCCTAGCAACAAGGTCTCTAGTTGACCCAAACAGGCCAGTAAATTAGCTGCAGTCATCTGCGCATTATCTGCCGTGCAGGGAGGGGGCTCAAGGCCTTTGAATGGGGACTGCAGGCAAAGGGGGCACTGTTCAGGCTGGCAGTATAGCCAGAAATTCATGCCTGCCTTGTGGGCTGGAACCCAACACCGGAGACACATTCATTCTCACAGCCCTTTACTGCAAAATCACTGCTCGCCAGCCCTGGCCCTGCAGAAGCACTTCTCTGGGGGTCCCAGTTAATTTTTGTTGGCTGGTTTGTCTCTTTGATTATGAGGGCCAAGTCCGCATAGCATTTCTTCAACTTCAAAGGAAAAAGCAGCGAATTTGGTTCACTTTCTTAGGAATATCAAAAAAGGAACGGAAGAATACACTCAGCTAGCCAAACCTTTCCTAAACAGACCCAAAGCACAGTCCCGCCCCACTGATCTGGCTGGCAGTGATGGGCAGCCTAGTACCACGGATGGCGACAAGGATGGGACGCACTATTCAACTGTCCACCATGCTTTCCACGATGATGACATAGTCCCCCCCAAAAAAGGAGACATGGAAAGTGCTTGCCCAGGGGCAGACTGAGCTGCCAGGTACACCGGGAGGTCAGAGACCCTTAGCGGCCACGATCAGAACTGCCATGTATTGTGTGTGTGTGTGTGTGGAGTGCAGAGACTGAAGATGACAGAGGGAATGGAGGAGGAAATCCTGAATGAGGCCCCAAGCAGGCCATTCTGGCGCAGACAGGACTTAAGAGTTCAGGTGTGCTGGCTGCCGCTCCCACAGTGGCTGACTTACATTGTATGGTTTGATGGTGCTGCTCAGAATCTCTGCAACAGAAAAAGACAATTGACCAGGATTCATACTATGTCCCCTGCCCCCAGATGTGACCTCAAGCTGGGGTGACCCACAGGTTAACATGAGCACCAGGAAGCAGCGGGGCAGCCGGGCAGAACTGGGCATTCCCGGTCTGACCTACCTATGGAGTTCTCCCTGGCACACAGCTTGCACTTCTGGACCATGGAGGCGCTGCCTCGGCCTCCCTTCAGGGCCACACTGTCCTGGCAAGGAGCGAGCAGAGTCTCTGATCACACAGACGGGTGGGCTGCAGGGGACCCGGCCTCCCACTTGGCACCCAGCCGAAGGGATCAAGACATGGGGAAGGGGCTGGGAAACGGTTACCATCAGCCTAAGGTACTGCCACTTGTCTGAGACCTCGCCGCAGTTGCCACATTTCATCTGCAAAGGGAAAAGGAGCCTGGGCAGAGCACCTGTCTGACGCTGTCGGGGGTCTGGGGCTGGGAAGGATGGCTGGCATCTCGCCTGCCCCCGCCCCAGTCTGCACTGGGGCTCACTGGCCACGTGGCACAGGGGCTGGACTCTCAGGTCTGGCTTCTCCTTGCCCCCTCCCCTCCCGCACAGGGCTGGCAGATTGCTCTGAGTCCTCGAGGTCCAGAGGAAAGTGCTCAGCCCGCAGCTGTTCTCTGCCGCTGTCTCCATCGCTAGACTCGGTGCTTCTCTGAAGCCCGAGCACATCAATTCCTCAAGGGGGCCCTGGCACCACGTTTTAAAATATTCAGGAAGTAAATAAAAGAGGTGTGTGTGTGGGGGGGGGGGGGGACACGTCCTGAGAGAGGGGGCTGGGCGGCGCGGGGCAGAGCCGCCCAGTGGAGCCGCTCCCGGGGCGACCCCCTATCGGGAGGCTCCAGCTGGGCGGCGCTCGGGCCGTGGCACAGTGCACCCGGGGGTGACGACCCACAATCCCAGGACGGCTCCAGGGTCAGCCAACGCGGCTGGGAAAGCAAACACGGAGCCGGGGCGGGAAACCGAAGACAAAGGCACGGCTGGGTGGTCGGTCCCGCGGGCCCCGCCGCCGCCGCACCTTCAGGAACCACCGGAAGTCCTCGCCCACCGGCCGGAGGTTGGTCACGTTCTCCAGCGTGGCTTTGAGCTGCAGCGCGATTTTCTACGAGGGAAGGGCCGGCTGGAGGGGCTGCAGGGGCCGCGCGGGCGCACCCGCACCCCCGCCCCGCCGACGCCAGGCCGCGCGCGCCACCCGCCCGCCCGGCTCCCGCCGCGGCGCGCCTCACCCCCATGCTGGCCCGGCTCCGCCCGGCGCCGCCACCGCGCTGCTTTCCTGCCCGTCGTAAACCCGGAGGGGGCGGGGCCGGCGCTCGCGGGGCGGGGCCTGCCGCCGCCGCCGCCGGGCCGTGGGAACCTCGCCTCCACCCCATACATAGCTCCTGCCTCTCTCAACGATCGCGTCCACCGCTCTCGTCCACGGCCACTCCGCTGTGCCGGGGCCCGATGTCCTTGTCTGCAAACGTCTTGTCTCTAGGCTACCCCGCGTCCAGCTGCTTCCTCTGGCTCCCGCGGGGCTCCAGTCCCACACCTGAAGACCACGTGGGGCTGGCGACCTGGGATCCTTCAGGGGCCTGCGCTGTCAGCTGGACTTGGAGTGACCACATTAGACGCCTGCTTTACCTCCGACTCGCTTTGCTGCCCCGAGTCTCTGTTTCTTTAGGAGAGCCCGGGCATGGGCAGTGAACTCGCGCCCCAAAGGCAGGAGCCTTGCGGGGGTGGGCATGGGGGGTACGGGAACACAGGCTTGCCCCAATCTGAGCCTCATCAGCCCTCAGTCCGTGACAGGCGGGTGGCCCAGCTCCTTCAAGCACCCCCAGTCTGTTGAACCTGCTGGTCACCTGATGATGGGCGATTTAGAAACCCCCAAATTCCTACAGGTCTCCCAGGCTATCTGGGGGGCTCAGTTTTTTACTGGATTTTAAACGGACCACTGAGCACAGGGATTGCACAATGGGCTTGAGCTGGTGGGGCACCCCCTCCCCACACATCTTTGAGTCCCAGCAACCCAGCACCATCAGATGTGACTTCTGGCCCAAGTAAATATATGGAATAGGCTACCGAAAAACACTTAACCTGGCATTTTATCCCTTATAGTGTACAACGCCACTGTATTTGATAACATATTGAAACCGCTGTATCTATAATAAGATCATTTCAGAAACATCCTCAATTTACTCAGTGTAATACCTAAATAAAAAACTGGAATGGAAATGGAAAAAGAATACAATACTATCCACTTAACACCACTGTCCTCAAATATCCAGTGTTCAAATTTCCTTAATGTCAATTCTGCTTTTCTTTAAACCCAAAATTCAGTGCCCAAGGACTGTTTTAAAACCAGAGATTTCTGGGGCTCAGGTAGTACAGTGGGTTAGAATACAAACCTAGAACGTGCCTTGCCAGGTTCTATTCTCAGCATCCCAAGGTTCTCTAAGCATAGAGTCTCCCAAATATAGTGGGTGCAGACTCAAGGGGCTCCAACACCACAGGGTGGCCCAGCACCTCCTGAGCTCCAATTGGGAGGGCCCCCCCAAAAAAAACCCCAAAACCTTATTGGTTCCTATTATGTTTTATCCTCTAGATATAGCTGACTGAATTTCCATTGTGGTCTTTCTATTTTGGGTCACAGCCTGAGGTGCTCAGGGATCATTCCTATAAACTCAAGGGACCAAATGCAATGCCAGAGACTGAACCAGGGTTGGGGTTGGATGTGTGCAAGATAAGTGTATTGCCTATCATACTACTCTCCATATTTTTAAGCATGTACTTTGATTCTCTTATTTCCTTAAAGTGGTAGTTAACAATCGCTAGTTGATTAGATTTCTAATTGCAATACCTCACATAGGAAGCTAGTGTTTTAAGAAATAATCAGAGGTTCACATATTTCATATCGATAAAAATTTCATTTGTCACATTTATGAAAGACAATCATGGTTTATACAAAAATACTGTCCTGATATACACAAAAATATCCTGATAATGGTAATTAAAAACAGCTACTCCCACCCACCCCCCTGTGTCCACACCAATACTCAATTTAGATTGGCTTAATCTTGAAGTGCAATCCAATGAGACTGAAGACCAAACACTTCAGGTCCTGAACAAGGTAATAAAATACTCGTAAGCCTTCCGGATCCCTAAAAAGCAAGAGAAAATAAGTTTAGAAAACAGAAAAATTGCAGAGAAAATTATACAACCGCTTTAGTTTGTACCAAAATCTTCCTTATAAAGCTATTTCTGGAATTAGAATGCTGAAAAACAACTGGCCAAAAAAGGGGAAAAGAATATATACATTTTATAAAAGTGGGTTTTCTTTTGTTTTTTTCTTTTTGGGTCACACCCGGCGATGCGCAGGGGTTACTCCTGGTTTTGCACTCAAGAATTACTCCTGGCAGTGCTTGGGGAACCATATGGGATGCTGGGAATCGAACCCGGGTCGGCTGTGTGCAAGGCAAACGCCCTACCCGCTGTGCTATTGCTCCAGCCCCTAAAAGTGGAATATTTTAAGATCATAGTCATACAAGCATATTTTTTTAAAAACAGAAAAGAGCTAAATTATTAAAATTTTTAAAATTAAATAGCTGTTGTTTTTTAAAAAACTTTTCCAGTATATTTTTATAAACACCTATTTATTTCAGAATTAGGAAGTGACTTTTTTAAAAGTTAGCAGGTCTCAGAGGCTAAGGACTGACATCACTGGCAAAGGGAGATAAAGGAAGATGGTGCACATATCCCCATGTGAGCTGCATCGAACCCTCAGTCCTGAAAACACCAGAGCCAAAGAGGCTGCCAAACTCAAGGGCATTTTGTGATAATTCGATGTCTCCATTTTACTATGTCCCAGCTTTTTCTTTTTGGGAGTGTTTGTGGTGGTGAGGCGTGGGAGACATACCCAGCAGTGCTCGGGGCTTATTAACTGGCTCTACACTCAGAAATCACTCCTGGCAGGTTTGGGGGACTAAATGGGGTGTCAGGGATTGAACGCAGGTCAGCCGCATGCTCTACCCACTGTACTATCTTTTTGGCTCCTCAGCTTTTCTACTGACGTGAAACCCCAAATTTAAAATCTAAATAATCTTAATCAATTTTGATCAAAGTCAGACTTGGCAAAGTGTCCCCTTGTAAGATAACACTGTTTTGTCCTTCCTCAGGTAGCTTAGGTTTATCGGGTCACACCCATCTAAGGACACTGAACTTGTATTGTAAGCAATGTCTTTTCTGTGTGGACACAGGAAGACAGTTAATATTATGCTTTGTAACTTGGGAGTTGATTGACTCCAAATAATATTTACTCCTGGGCATCTGCTTTCTTGACTCAGTTGCCCTTAGTTCCTAGCACCCCAAAAGCAGGGTCCCGACAAGACCCTGTAAGCTGTAAAATCTTATCACGCCAAGGTTGTGTGTTCATGGGCGAAGGTTGTGTGTTCATGGGCTCACTGGATGGCTTTCTCACCACCTGCGTTCGGTGCTCTTGAGCCCTGTGTGTGGCCTGGATCGGGATGGCTGTTCTTTCTCTCAAGTTTGCACCCCTCTCGCTCTGACTCTCCATTCCCCGATCTTACAGTCTTAGTTTATATAGCAGTCACATAAGGCGGTGACATAAAGGTGGGTTGAATATTGACAAATCAACAAAGAGAGGTAAGACCACTCCTCCAGGAAATTAACTCAAGGATCTCTCATCTAAAGAGATTACTCCAGATTACTAGGAGATCCGCTCAAGGGTGGGATCCCAACAAGGGTGTGTTATTCCCTCAGTTAGTAATCTACTTAAATAGTTGTAATAAATCTACTTCTAATCATCGATTTAGTATTCGATATGCCAGACACAGTAACAACAAAGTCTCCAATGGAGACGTTACTGGGCCCGCTCGAGCAAATCTACTTCTAATATTTCTAGCAATGTCATTCTGTATGAGCACAGTAAGAGATATAAACTTAGTTTGGTTCTTCCTGAGAACATCTCACTATATATTCCGCAGTCCTCAGGCCAGGTTAATCTTCCTAGCTCTAGCAGGGTCCTAGTCTCGTCGTTACTTACTTTTGGATCATGACAGCATTTGTCCATGATCATGCCCTCAACTTATAGTTGAGTATTGTGGGTGGCTCTTTGGCCTGGCCCATTTCAATGCGAGGGTAGCTCACAGCTTGCTCTGGGTCCATTCAGTCCCTCATCGGGACCCTGCTTTTGGGGTGCTAGGAACTAAGGGCAACTGAGTCAAGAAAGCAGATGCCCAGGAGTAAATATTATTTGGAGTCAATCAACTCCCAAGTTACAAAGCGTAATATTAACTGTCCCTGTGTCCACACAGAAAGGACATTGCTTATAATACAAGTTCAGTGTCCTTAGATGGGTGTGACCCGATAAACCTAAGCTACCTGAGGAAGGACAAAACAGTGTTATCCTACATCCCCTGAAGGATAATGCTGGGTGTTCAGACAAGGGGACTTTTAAATTCACTGGGGAGAGAGCCCCCTCACTAACAGACTCTCTCCCTCAGCCTCCAGTTCACATTCCCAGGAGCCAGCACATAGCCTCCACAGGTGAAACATGTGCTCTACCTCTGAGCCACATCCTCAGTACATTGAGAAGCTCTTATTAATAATGATGGACTAAAAAACAAAAGCAATTGAGGCAAATCTCCAATATTAAATGGTGTCCCTTTCTAATGAGGGGACAAAGGGGGACCCTCCATCTTCCATACACATCAGCTCTTACCATGATGGCAAGTTCCATTTCAATCTGTTCCAAAAGAGACACATGAAAATACTAAGGACACTTACTTGGACTGATTGACATCAATAAGAGAACCGATTTTTGATGTTGTAAAAGAGATGTGTTCATCTCCAATGACAATCTCAAGTTCCTAGAAACAAAGGAAAAACACTACATTCAGCCAGAGTTTTTCATCAACTGCAAAGAAGGGTGTAACATCTGCCAAAGTTCACAAGTCCAATTACAGACAAATGCTTTCTTTGAAAAGTCAGAACTCAGTGAGATCCTAGAGGCCCAGCTGGTGCCACCAAGATCTGCTTGCTCTGGGGAAAGGCTCCCCACTTGGTGGCCAGCAGGGAAACGTGCAGTGTGAGCAGTAAAGGATACTCAGAGGGCAGAAACCTTAGGAAGAGGAGAGCCTGTTCCTCCTTTACATACGGGTTTGTTTCTGGAGCTTCTATTCTGTTCATGGGCCTACGTGCCAATTCCCGAGGCAGAACACAGCACAAATGTCTACAGCTTTCTGAAACAACTTTACAATCATCTTGGTTATTCCTGCCCCTTCAATCATCCACAAATTCAATTCTCTGTCCATTCTAGGAAAAATCCTACCATGACTCTGATCTGAAATCAAATATATCAAATTACATTAAAGAAAACTCATATATTGAGTCTTCAATCCATAAAAAGACACATTTGGGGGGTGGGGGTCACATCTGGTGGTGCTCAGGGATTATTCCTGGTTCTACGGTCAGGAATCAGTCCTGGCTGTCTTGGGGGACCACACAGGGTGTCACAGAATTGAAGTCAGGTTGGCTGCATGCCAGGCAGACGCCCTACCCGCAGTACTATCACTCTAGCCCCACAATACATATTTTTATGTTCTAATAAAGGCCTCTCCTGTGGGAAATTTATGCATGATCTGTTCTGCAGACCAGCGTTTCCTCCCTTCGATTACTGAAACACGTGTAATCTTTGTATCCCCTCAGAGCTTTGGTCCAGCAGATCCTATACTCAGCAGGTGTAGGATCTCTAGGAGGGAGTGGACATCATGAGCACAGCTCAGGGCTAGGGCAGTCGGCACTCAATGTCATAGGCATCCCACACTGGAGGAAACCTCATCTGACCTGTGCCATGCTGCTCCTGACAGCCACTAAGGCTCACCTGTCGGCCCACGCGGTCAGGAGGTGGCCACAGCGCATCATCCTCCTTGGTAATTTCACTGTCATCGATGATTCTCTTCAGTTCCTCCATTACACTTTTATGTACGTAAGCCTGGAAGCAAGTTCAAGCCAGAAATTAAGGGGAATCCCTATTCCGCGATCTGACTCCAGAGAGAATGAAAGCGTAAACGACCACTTCTGAATGCATCTAATGGGCCTTCTGGGCACCAAGAGGAAGATCTTTCGAGCTTGACCTCCGCATGCTGGAGAGAGGGCAGGATCAGAGACGCCCAATGAGACCCCCCTGCTCCCCCAACCAGCTGTCTCGGGACCATCTAGCTCCCTCCCTTCACACTCAATTCCAACCAAATGCAACACAAGAGTTTTGCAACCCCAGCTTTTCCTGGGTAGATGACATGCTTCTTGAGAACAGAGATAGGTTTTTCAAAATATATTTTTTGGGAGCTGGAGAGCGAGCTCAAAGGGCTGAGCACAGTGCACGCGGGAGGCCTGGACTCAACCTCCAGCGCCGCATGGTCCCAGGAGTACCACAGCAGCAACGCCCAAGGGTTGGGCACAGGAACTCACAGGTGTGTGTCCTCTATCCTCCTCTCCCCCAAATAATGTAACATACATGTTCATACTAGTTCACGTAGGAAAATATGTGAGGGAGGATGCTAACATGAAAGGGTAATCATATAGAGGCAGTTACATTTCCACATGTGGAAAAAGCGGAGGGGGCTTTGATGAAGCTTCAGTAGTGTGGGAGAAATCACACCCAAGGGGAGCACGTGCATTTATAAATTCTCCCATTCTCTCTTTCCAGTAGGGGTCACTTTAAGGCCTCCCTAACTAGTATGGAGGCCTTCATCGTCTGTAGAGGGCACATACCACTACCCATCACAGGGTTTGTGTTAAATCAGCTCATTCATGGAAAGTATCTGGTGCTATGCCTGGCGTCTAATATGCATTCGGTGCTATTAACTGCTTCCCCACAGTCTCTCTGTTCAAATGCAAACTACACAGTTCGCTGTACTGCTGTATACCAGGCACTTTGGTATAATTTTGCTTACAACAGGCTTGGGAGCAGGGATGGGGAGTAGGTTTAATTCTTTCAGTGTGTGAGGATGAAGAAACCAGTTTCTCAAGGTCAAATCAGGGAATTTACCCAAAGTAGAAGACTCAGGGTTCAAACTACAATCTGGGAGACTGTGAGTATCAGAAACTGATTCAGCATTGTGAAAGAAAAGAACCAACTACACAGGGATTCGAGAAAAACTTTACAAGATAACATATGCCTAACGCATGCCTATATTTTATCTTCTACGATTCCCATAGGGCTGGAGCAATAGCACAGCGGTAGGGCGTTTGCCTTGCACGCAGCCAACATGGCCGACCCGAGTTTGATTCCTCCGCCCCTCTTGGAGAGCCCGGCAAGCTACCGAGAGTATCTCGCCCACACGGCAGAGCCTGGCAAGCTACCTGTGACGTATTTGATATGCCAAACACAGTAACAACAACAAGTCTCATGATGGAGACGTTACTGGGCCCGCTCGAGCAAATCGATGAACAACGGGAGGACCGTGACCATGACCGTGACGATTCCCATAACGAAACAAAACAATACAGGCTCAACTGTAATGCATCTGTGGCTCTTGGAAGGCTCATTACCTCTTTCCGGATCATGACATCATTTTTGTAATTGCTGTTGTTGGCATATCTCAATTTCCCTGCAAGGGACAAAAACCAAATTCAATTTCCAATAAAAATGTATGTACAAAACATCATTACCCACCAAGACTAACATTGCTGCTAAAATATCCAGCTTTCCCTTCAAACTATTTATACCCATGGTGTTTCCAAAGTAGTTCTTTGCTCTAGAGTGTTACTTCAGAGCCCCAACAGCCAATAGTACAGGTGCTACTGAACTCCAGTTCTTGAACAAGGCACTTCAGGTTTGGTAAAAGAACACAGGCAGGCATATTTTGTACTCTGGCAAACCAGATCTCTGCAGGCTAATGAGCTCCGCTGGAAAGAGGAATACTTATCGATAACTTACCGGCAGTCTCCTGATAAAAAATTAAAAAATGCCCTCCCGTTGATCATCGATTTGCTCGAGCGGTCCCGGTAACGTTTCCATTGGAGACTTTGTTGTTACTGTGTCTGGCATATCGAATATGCCACGGGGAGCTTGCCAGGCTCTGCCGTGCAGGTGAGATACTCTCGGTAGCTTGCCAGGCTCTCCGAGAGGGGCGGAGGAATCGAACTCGGGTCGGCCATGTTGGCTGCGTGCAAGGCAAACGCCCTACCGCTGTGCTATCGCTCCAGCCCAGTCTCCCGATGTGCAAATGAATTATGAAAGCATTCTGAAAACTATAAAATGCTGTTCACACATCTGATCAAGTAGAACAAATGCTGATCCATTGCTGAGATGGTAAGATGTACTTTTAGCATTAAGCACATGTGGTACAGGCAGAGTCAAGACACCCAACAGGCGGATTTGGGTATGGTGGGTACAAAGGGAAAGATAAAGAAATGGGGCTGGGAAAGTGGCTGAGCAGGAGAACACTTGCCCTTCATGTGTGAGATCCTGGCACTTCAGAAAAATTATCAAAATAATAGGGAAAAAAGAGAGGGTGCTGGAGTGATAGTACAGCACTTTCACGCAGCTAACCCAGAATTGATCCCTGCCATCCCATGTGGTCCCTTGAGCACTGCCACGAGTAATTCCTGAATGCAGAGCCAGAAGTAACCCCTGAGCATCGCTGGATATGGGGAAAAAAGGGAAACATGATTTTCCCTTGTAGAACAGAGGCACACATGGAAAAAGAACCAAATGAACAGATTTCAAGAGCCTCTGCATACAGATATTTTAATCTGAGACGAGAACTACAAGGGTAGGGTGCTTGCTTGCACACACTCAACCTGGGTTCAATCCCCAGGACCCCATATGGTTTCCCAAGTGATCCCTGAGGACAGACTCAAGAGTGAGCCCTGAGCACCATAGGGTGTGGCACCTTCCCCCAAGAATATCTTAAATCCTCTCCATTTTCACTATCACCCTACTTCAACCAACAACCCTTTGATAATTCTACCTACTAAATAGCACCTGTTTCTTCCACTACTGTCCACTCTGCACATAATAATTAAAATGTTTTTTCAAGGCCAGAAACGTGAATCAGTGGTAAAACGCATGCCCTGCACGCAGAACACCTGGGGTTCTGCCCAGATTTTGGGAGAGGAGGGAATCAAGAACACACCACATCTGTCCCGGCTGCTTCCTGTTGCGCTTCAAGAGTAAAATCCAAATTCTGGTTATGTTCTTCCTCTTGAGCTTCACAACGTAGCTCCTCACCAACCAAAATCCCATCTTATGGGAGGGAGAGAGAGTATAGCGGGTAGGGTGCTTGCCTTGCAAGCAGCGGACCGGGGTTCGAGCCCTGGCATCCCATAACCGTATGGACTCCCGCAGGACTAATCTCTGAGCACAGAGCCAGGAGTAAGCCCTGAACACCGCCCCGCGAGTGCCCCTCCCACCCCCGGGGGAAAAAATCACAAGCAATAACAACAAAAGAATCCCATCTGATCGCTGTTCGAAAACCCCATCTTTGAGCTCCCCCAAAGGCCACTTTCTCCAAAAAGCAGCTCACCAGCAATTATCCCATCATTTTTCCCGGATCATTCACTAACATCTGGAATCTTCTGGTTTACTCTCCTGACAGTTACATATCACTTTCACGAGAGAGGTCGCTCGTCTGCAATCTACTCATGTATTCCTGATCGTGGAACCCGACCTGGCAACCAAGTGGCCGTCGAATGCATGCAGTCTGCTGCAAAACATCGCTACAGAGAAGTCCCGGCCCGGGGACTGAAGGCACCAGGGGCGCGGCCACGGGGGCGCTTCTCGGAGATCAGATGCGCACCGGTCGGCCCCTTCCTGCTCCGGTACCAGCACACTCGGACCCCCGCGCCCCTGGGAGACGGGAGGTCGCTCTTACCGTCGGGTCGGAACTCAAATTCCAGGAATTCGTGACCGAATTTTCCCTTGTGACCCACGTAGTACCGCAGATAAAAATCACTCTCCATGGTCAGCGAAAGACAGCAGAGCGCGAGTTTGTAAATTACCCGCAGCCGCCCCGTAAGCGCCAGACACTGACGTAACGGCGGCGCGCGGCGATGACGTCAAGTCAGCGCCGCTTCCCGTGACGGCCGGTCCCGCCTCTTCCGCCCGGATCAAGGCTGCCCCGCCCAGCCCAAAACCAGCGCAGCCGTTCCAGCTGGGGGCGGGGCCTCCCTGGATGGGGGCGGGGCCTCTTCCGGGAGGGGGCGGGGCATTCCCTGTGCTTTTTCTCCTCCGGGCTGATAAGGAAATTGGTCAAGAAGAAAGGAATCTTGGGCTGGAGCAATAGCACAGCGGGTAGGGCGTTTGCCTTGCACGCAGTCAACTCGGGTTCGATTCCCAGCATCCCATATGGGCCCCTGAGCACCGCCAGAGGTAATTTCTGAGCGCAGAGCCAGGAGTAACCCTGTACATTGCCAGGTGTGACCCCACCCACCCCCCAAAAAAGAAAAAAAAAACCCCAAGGCCAGAGGCTGGAGCAATAGCAAAGCGGGTAGGGCATTTGCCTTGTACGCGACCGACCCGGGTTTGATTCCTAGCATCCCACAAGGGTGTCCCCTAAGCACCTCCAGGAGGAATTCCTGAGTGCAGAGCCAGGAGTAACCCAGTGCATCCCCGGGAGTGCATCGCCAGCTGTGACCCAAAAAAGCAAAAAAAAAAAGAAGAAAGGAATCTCAGGCATTAAACTCGGAATAGTGATTAGCTCCTGGGCTTCAGTAGATAGCAACATCGTTGCTCTTTCAGAGTGGAGGTGACATGTGCTCAGTTCTGTCCTTCAAAGAATCTGGAGGTGGTGATTAGAGTCAGTGTATAGAAAGATCAAGGGGGGGAAATATGAAATTTATGTAACTGGCAAACAGCATCAACAGGTGGGTAATATTAAGGAGTTTGGGCTAAAACCCAAAGGCTCTGGTTTTTGTTTTGGAGGAGATGGAATGCCTTGCTAAGGATTAAACCTGAGGCTTCTGCATGCTTATTCTCAAACCCTTCAAGCTGTGCCCTCGGCGCCAGAGTGCTGGATTTACAAGGTAAACAAAGGTGCAAACTTATTGCTTTCTAGAAAGATCACCCTGGCTGCTATAGGGAGGTTGGGAAATTGAAAACTTGGAAGTTTGAAATTTGGATGCATAGTTGCTAATCTCAGTAGTAATCCAAGATGCTGGTGACCTATACACAGGTAACAGCGAGAGACAAAAAAATTGGTGGATTTGAGATGGACTCTCATAACATAAGCCTAAGTAAGAGTATTTTTTAAAAAGGAGAGTTCCTGGAGGATACTTGTAGCCAGTAATATTCTGCCTCCAAGTATCTTCCAGGAATTCTTCCTTGGCTAAGAACAACAGGTATCCCTATGAAGAGGAAGAAAAAGAAAATCTAGATTCCATGTGCTTTGGGGGAACTAGACATTTAGACATACCTGTGTGACTCTGAAAATTTACTTCATTTCTGATAGCACAGCGGTAGGGCGTTTGCCTTGCACGCAGCCAACATGGCCGACCCGAGTTCGATTCCTCCGCCCCTCTCGGAGAGCCCGGCAAGCTACCCAGAGTATTCGATATGCCAGACACAGTAACAACAAAGTCTCCAATGGAGACGTTACTGGGCCCGCTCGAGCAAATCGACGATCAACGGGAGGGCCTTTACCTTTACCTTTATGTATAAAATGAGAACAATAATATTGGTAGTTTCTGTCTCAGAGAGGTGAAGATTGTGATGTAAAGAATGTAAAGAATAGAGAGATAGTATAATACAAGGGTTAAAGCACTTGCCTTGCATGCAGGTAACTCTGGTTCAATCCCTGGTCCCGTGAGCATTGCCAGAGTTGGTGAGTGCCACCCTGAGACCCCTCACAAAAGTCTCCTAGGTAATCCTTCAGGTCCTTATATTGAACCACTGAACCCAGTTGGGCAAGATTGTCTTGTGTGTATGTGTGTGTGTGTGGGGGGGGGGGGGTTGGACCGCCTGAGCACTGCTTGGGAGACATCCCTCACCCCCGCCGCCAATAAAGACTATCTTGTAGACATTAGGGACTCAGCCAATGAGTATTTACTTTCCCCTCAAGAAATTATCACACGGAAACAGGACTTTCGGATTTTAAAAAATGAATGTAATCTCTCTCTAGAAACAGTGCAGATTTTACAAATGTCCACATTTGGTTTTCAGTTCACCAAGATGATGATGTCAGTACCGTTAGTGAGATGCAGCATACCTCCCTCTGTCCCTCTGCTTCCAGAAAGAAAGCCAGGCTGCAAAGGGCAGAGTACAGAAGTTAACGGAACTCAGACAAGACGAAGAGCAGAAACGATCTGTGGGACCTAACATGCCCTGATGCATCAAATATGACAACTTTGGGGTATGAGGAAGAAGGAATAAACAAGGAATATTCATTTGGGTACAATGCAATGGCATCTGCAAACCAGTTACTACACCCTCCAATGAAGAAGTTTCTATAGAACAAAATGCTATTTTAAAACATATGGTCTGTACAGGTATTTGTTTTCTCTTGTAGTTTTTGTTTAAAAAAGTATCAAAACCTTCATGTTTTTAAATATATATATGTACATACTGGTGTCTTTTAAAAATTACTTTTTCTAGCTCAAAGTGTTTGCGAATGCAGAGGGTTTCTGCCAATTGCCAACTGTGCACATGGTGCACAGCTTGAGTGAATGGAGCTTTCTGACTTCTTGCATGAACCCAAAGTGTGAAGCTGCCATTCCTCGACCTCCTAAATTCTCCATATCTGGAAAATCCCCAATACCTGAAGACTACAAGGGGAGAAGACTGGTATACCACCTTCAAGCATCGATGGGGATGACTGGAAATTACTGAATTGCTAATTCATCGCTGTTCTGGGAACTAAGTGTTTGTCTGGAGTCGGGGAGAGAGATGGAAGGTCCACACTCCTCCAGACTCTCTCTTTTCCCGCAAGTGCATCACTGGACAATGCTTGGGTCCCGTCTCTAGACTCCACGTCTTTCACATTTCTAGTTTTCTCTCTCACGGTGGAGGAAATTGGAGGCTCTTGACCATGCAGAATGTTTCTGTGACTCCCCGTCGCCCTAGTGCCTTGTATTATTTTTCATCAATTGGCTAAGCTGCTACTCAGGTAGGTGGAAAGTATCATGATTTCCCTTTGGCCACTGAGAAGCCTGAGGCTGGCAAAGGCATGTCTGCGACAGGCTGGCAGCTCATCTCCGTGTCTTTTCCATGATACTTGGTGTCTTGGACACAATGATCAAGTCTCCGCTCAACTGAACTGGAAGTTAAACGGGAGTGTCTATAAAGTGCTCGCATTAAGCCAGTCTTTCCAGCCAGCCTCATTTCTTGCCAAGTACTTTTGAGCCTTTTGCATGCTATGATGAAGTACACACAGTTCTTGAAACATCCCCAAGATGGTTCAGGCCCCTGTGTCTTAGCACAGCATCTCCTCTGCCCGGAGCAACCTGGACATCCCTAATGGATTTTGAAGACTTGGCTAAGGTCACTTCTGCATCACCTTTCTTGACCCCATTTCTCCTCTCACGTAGAAAGACCCTTCTTGTCCTTGCGTCCTAACAGTAACAACCCAAAAAGAACATTTTTCATTTTGAATCCTCATGCATTCTTCTCTGCTACTACTGTCAGCTCTGCCAAGACAGAACATGCTCAGATGGCCTGTACCTCTGCAGTGCCCGGCACTTAGGTGCTACCAACAGTTGGTGTCAGTGAATGAATGTATTGCAGTCACAGAGTAGAACCCGGGGAATAATTTATTGCCATACATTTAAATCGGATCTCCTTCTGAGGCCACGGATCACCTCAGTATGCTTCGTAAGGAATTATGGTCTCAAGAGTGAAGTTTTTTTGTGATGCGGGAAGGCCATTTCTGTCAGGGCCCTTGTAATTCCACTAGAAAGAGGGGCTGTAACATAGGTAGCAAGTGTGGTACGATGTCCAGGCAGCCCAGAGTAGCCTTCTGACCGAGGGAAGGGTGAAGAGGACTGGGAGAAGTTTCTTTAAAGAGAATAGTAGTCATGTTAATTGTCCATGGCCAGCTCGCCATGTTCTCTAAGCTGCCTTCCAGCTCTGTGGTCCAGTGACTGGATGGCATGTTCCTGGCTCTAAATATGACAGAAAAGGGGGGGAAGATAACAGAAATGCAATTGCACCTCACAGTGAAGTTCAGGAGCATCCAAAACTAGGAGCTGATCCCTCCTATTTTCATAGGGTTCCCCCATCAAATTCCCCAACTTGCTTCCCACAGGTTCCCAGAGCTCTGCTTCCAAACTTTGGGGTGGCATATTCAGGAGAGAGGGCTGTCTCGAACAGAGCTGTTTTCCGTCATTATTTGGTGATCTCAGGTTGAAGTGTCCTAACCACACTCATTTTTTGCCCCCTCTGAAGGTCAGGATCTGAGTGAAGGTTTAGAAACTTTGCACTGTTACTACTTCCCTAGAAAATTCTCTCTTTGGATACAGTTTTTATTTTTTAAGTTGCTTGTTTTGTGTTTATTTCCATGTTTTTCTTTATCCAAATCAGTTTTAATTTGCATTCTTCAAGGAAAAGTCGTGATGATTAAGTTCCACGGGAGTTGGCTCTTGTTTTTCAATCTCTGTCCTTAAATATAGTTCGTCCGGGTGTGTGCATTTACCTTATCAAGAAGCATCCTGGGACTCCACACATGCATGAGGACAGGGCTCGGAAAGGGGAGTCCCCAGGCTTGCAGACATCATTGAGAATGTTCCGGAGAGGAATGTCCCAGGAATAGGATGACAGAACCGCTAAATGTCTGTCTGGAAACTCACAGGGTATCAAGTCAGTAAGACACCCAAAGTTCACTGAGGAGGCGCTGGTGGGGGGGTGCAGCTGGAAAGTGGGGGGGGGGGGGAGAGGGGGGCTGAAATGTGTCAAATTCCAGGCATGTCAGGCTTGATGTGTCCTCTGCTCCTACTTAAGCCAAACACTTCCATTCCCGGCCTGGTCTCTACCTGTATGAGGGAGTGGCATGGCAGGAGAGCAAAGAGACGACTGTCCCTTAGATGAACAAGTAGGGGTGGGGGTGGCACTGAATTCCTTCTGGGACCGGAGGATTCCAATGGTTTCCAATGACAGAGCCCCAGAAAAGAAAAAGGAACTTATTTCTCCCTGCCTCCCTTAAGACCCGGGAAGAGCAAAGAAGGTGTCTACGATGAAAAAAGTCTGTACATCTGCACAGAGTTTTCCCTTTTATTCATAGAGCAATAAACCAACCCCCGTGTGAACACAGATATCCAATGCGCTATGGCGTATGCCATCACCCCCCGTCAAAGGCAGCTTCAGGTTTGGCCACTTTTTCTGCTGTAAGCCTTTTGGCTCAGTTTCTTCTCTATGAATACATGATGGTAACTACAGAGGACTAGGAGGTTTTTTCTCCACCTAGAAAAAGTGGTAGAGAGTACCGGGGCGGGGGGGGGGGGGGAACGGGGATGTAACAAAACTTAATTCACTGTCCTTATCTTCCTCCTAGCGTATCTCAAGAGGGTCTGTGCCAGTTCCTCGGGGAAATGGGGGGGCTCTGTGATAACCATCTCCACTGAGCTCTAAGAAGGATGGTGTTCCTTGGGGGACCTCAGAGGAGACCCTGATGCCCCCTAAGTCCTGGAGGACACGGAATAGGTTTCTCACAGAGCATAACTTCAAGTCCAGAAGTAGCTGAGGTTCAGGCCTGGCCCCGCTTAAGCTCATGAGAACTGGCCTATGTCACACAGGGTAGCACAGCAGTTGGGAGTACCGAGGGGCTTTCCCCGACTGACTGGACCCCCCCATTTCCAGGAGCAGACAGAGGTGGGACAGTTTTGCCTCTTCCACTCCATGTTTGCCTGAACCATGTTATCCTTTTTGCTGAGCCAAATTTCCAAAGAAAGGGCTGCGGATAATTCCCTTGTGGATGATTTTTAAAATAGATTGTTCTTTTGTTTCTGAATTACAGCCATTGGCATGCCTCTCTGTTCCAGCCTTTTCTCTCTCACACACATACACAAACACAAATGCACGCAAATCTGCGTGGGGGAATCCAGACATACCAAAAATAAATACTCTCCTGTCTCTAAATTATTTATAGAGCTAATCTTATTTTTGAAATATGTTAATAAATAATCTAGATGGGGGAGGGAGAGGAAGGTTTTTTTTTCTCTTATGCTGATGGATAGCCACAAAGCATAATCATCTCACAAAACAAAACCCAAACTCCAAAACCTAAAAAGCGCCCCCCTCCAACCAAATGCCCTCTGTAAATATAGTTTTAAAATGATGAGTGAGCTACTGTTCCGTCGGCCCATTTGGTTATGTACATCATGTTAGTCACCAGCCACAGCTGGTCCATGATTCTTCATGGGTAGTGCAACCAGTTAAAAAGTGTATAAAACATTATACATATAAAAACTCTCACATCCTTTGGATGTTTGCAGTTCATCATAACTTTGTGGTTACCTTTCCGCAACATAAATTAAAAAAAAATACACACAGATTCTCTCTCTCTCTCTCTCTCTCTCTCACACACACACACACACACACACACGCACACGCACACGCACATGCACACACACGCACGCACACTCGCACAGTCGCACAGACCCATGGACAGAAACCCTCCTGTCCAGGCATAGACCGTCCTGGGCTGTGGTGCATGGGACTGAGTTCCGTGAGGCACGGCGGGAGCGGTCCCATCCTCAGGGCAGTCCATCATCTTCAATGTTTAATGCCACTCGCTGGGGGAAGAGCAGAGAAATCACCATTAGGTCGCAGGAGTTACAACAGGGTGCCCACAAGGTCCCTGGTGTCCCATCACTCCACCAGCATGAGCTTACAAAACCTTCCCATGTCCCTGAGAAGCAGGCCCTTCTCCCATTATTTTACAGACAAGGAAGCTGAGACTCAATGAGCCTAAACAACATTTGTCCTGGATCACGCGTCAAGTGGCCAGCTAAAACCAGAACCCAGGTCTGCATGAATCACAAGTCCAGCTATCCACCATTCATCTGCCTCTTCGTCCAGGCGGGCTGCAGAGGTCTAAACTTTCTCAATCCTTCCTCATAGGACTCCAGGTTTGGACAGCCTCAGTGAATTGGCTTTTGGCAAACATTTCTTTCTAGCTCATTAGCCGGTCGTCTCAAGTCTGCTAATCACAGGAAATCAATCTGTACTCTTCCCAGCAGATTATACACACCTGGGGAGTGATGCAGGCCAACTGAGTCAAATCCCTGCCTCCCTCTCCTCCTATTTCCAGTAATCAGTTGCTAGACTGCCCTCTGCCACGAAGGGTTGGCCACTAACTAGCTAGTGGATCTCTAACCCCCAAAGCCACAGTACTGCATTGTGGAAAATGAACTCAGCTCCATCCCCACCCATCCTGACATGAACTCTCATTCTATCTTCTTTTTTTTGTTTTTTCAGGCTATACCTGGCGGAGCTCAGGGCTTACTCCTTGCTGGGCTAGGGGACTCTAGGCAGTGTTGAAGAATCAAACCCGGGCCGGTCCCATGAAAGGTAAGTGGCCTACCTACTGTGCTCTATCTCTGCCCCCCTCTCTTCTGATGTTCTCTGATTCACTTAGACTCAGAGTTCTGCTGTGGCAAGCCTTCAAGTATACCAGTGTCTGAGCCTCTTCCCTTCCCTTCCTCCAGGGTATGTGCTCCCCACTTCCCACCTGGGTGTCGTCAGCTGCTACTTCCGTCGTCAGGGCGGAACCCTGTTCCCACACTTCCATTTCCTGGACACCCTCCTGGAGACAGACGCAGGGTGTGAGTGTCTCTCTCGGCACCAGGTGACATAGCTCTCCCCATGCCCACCTCTGAGCTCACATCTCATGTCAAACGCGAGTAATAAAGGACCAACCTTCCAGCATTGGTAGGGAGTCAAATCATCTATGTCGAGGGCTTAATCTAGGACTGACAGCTTCTGCATCCCCACGGAAGAGAACCAGACTAGTCTTTTCCATCTTTAGATGTCCTACATACAATGACTCTGCTGCATCTCCAACCGTGTTTGTCTTTTTAGTATTTCTGCATGAACACCCTGGCCTTGGCCCGCTAGCAGGAGATCTGAAACTTTCTATCCAGTTAGCCTCCCACTCTCTCCAAGATAGATATCCAGGGCTAAGAAATCCCAGCAGTGATGGGAAAGGGGCTCAGAGGCAGAGAACAGGTTGAGATTGTGGATTTCCAGAGTACTGAGGAAAGAGTTTACCTCATGTCAGTGTAGAAAGAACACGGCCTTTGTTTCATTCTGTTTTGTCTGGCCACACCAGACAGTGCTCCAGGGCTTATTCCTGGTCCTGCACTCAGAGCTGTCACCTGGCAGGCTCCAGGGACCAGATAGGGTGCCGGGGATAGAACCCAGGCCAGCTGCCTGCAAGGCCGTAGCCTGGTTCCAGCTCCCGAACACAGGCTATCAGTAACATGCAGACCAGAATTGGAATCCTAGTTCTGCCACTTCCTGACTGTGACGGAAGGCCAGTTATTCTCGACTTCTGAGTCTCAGTTTCCTCATCTGAAAAATGGAACTCATAACAACACCATAACTTGCCTGGAGAGACTAAACCACAAGTACTTAAACAACACAGGGCAAGTTCTTAGGACATGTCAGTCTCCGCATCTCCTAGTCCATCTCTCTGCAGCTGAGAAACTTCAGGAATAGTTTCTCCTGAGACCTCAGACTTTCTTTTCTGGAGCCACTCCACGTGGTCAGGATGTTTTCTACCTCACAGAGCACTCACAGGGCTAGCTCTCTTGACCACAGAAGGCAAACAGAACGAGACGGCTGTTATTCCCATTTTACCAGTGAAACCAGCAGAAAGAAGTGACGAGGATCGGGGACTGTGGAGCGGCAAAGCGGGGAATCATCTCTCCACTCCTGGCTTAGCTTAGCGTCTCCTCCTCCGCCCCCTCCGACCTGTCCGAGTTGGCTGGGGTCTGCCTCTCGGATTGGTGGAGGGCGAGACCCCCCGCCGCCATGCACTAGCCCTCCTGACTCAGCTTCCCCCACTTCCCCTCCTGGACAACGGGCTGCAGCAGCTGCTGCAGCCTGCCCTGCCCCCGTGCCAGCCACATGCCACCATGTCCTCGGCTGACCACTGGCCCATCTCTCCTTCTGCCCCAACACCCGTGGACACTCGCCGCCTTCCACGAGCAGGACGCTGCTGCCCTGGCCTGGCTCCCTGCCCTCGCTCGCGGCCCCTGAGCCTCCGAGGGGCACTGCCCTACCTTGCACGCGACGACAGGCAGCTCGGAAAGAGGGTTCTTCGGGAGTTGGTGCGGCTGTGACCTTGGCTCTCCCGGCAAGACAAAAAGCTCCTTGAGGGCAGGGGCTGGGTCTTCCAGTTCTCTGGTCTCCCCAAGACAGCGCTCTGCCCACAGCGGGCGCTCAAAGCTGCTGATCGCCTGACAGGGGGATGGACCAGATGACCTCTGGGGTCACTCAGCCCCCTGGCTCTGCTATTCCAATCTGACATCTGCTCCAGCCACCTGGTATCCTTGCTCCCCGGCATGCCCTGCCCTGCCTGGCCTCTCATCCTTGGCCTCCTGCTGCCAATGCATTTCTCCTCCTCTCCCTGGAAGCCTTTCAAGGACACGCTCCACCTGCCACCTCCCCTGGGAGGTGGCCCCTGCCTACGTTCCCAAACAGCTTCATGCACAGTGGCCCTGAACACTCGCTAGGAGCTCGCGACGTGCACTGGACCCCAGGGAAACAGCCCTGCCTCGAGGAGCGCGTGTCCACGGAGAGGCCCCTACGGGAAAGGACGGGCAGACCGTGGCATGATGAGTGCTGCGTGGTGAGAGGCTCCTGGAGACAGAGCCAGTGGGACAGCAGCCTAGCGGAGGGGGGCCCGAGCTTCCCCTGTGGCCCTCAGCACACAGCCCTGCAGGGGGATGTGACTGCTGCTCCCCTCCCCCTCCCCAGATCCCTGGACGCAAGCAACTCCCTGCCTTCCCGTCAACACCTGGGGCCTGTTAAACCCAACACACTAACAGGTATTCCCGCCCCAAAGTTCTGAAAACTTTCTCAGCAAGAAGACAAGTGGCTTCGCTACTGCCCGGAAAAGCCCCTTCATTGTGGCCCAGATACCCTTTCCCCAGGCATCTGCCCTCACGCTGATGTCCCTAGGGCGTAGAACAGTATCTGGCATGTGGCAGTTTTGATAAATATTCAAAAATGGAAAGGAGGGAGGGAGGGAAGACGGGAGGAAGGAGGGAGAAAGGGAGAAAAGAAAGGAGGGAGGAAGGGAAGGAAGGAGGGAGGGAGGAGGGAGGAAGGAAGGGAAAAGGCAGGAGGGAGAAAGGAGGGAGGAAGGAGAGAGGGAGGAAGGGAGGAGATAAGGAAAGGAAGAGGGAGAGAAGGGGGATGGGAGGTGGATGGAAGGGAGGAAGGAAGGGAAAAGGGAGGGAGGAAGGGAAGAGGGAGGGAGGAAGGAGGAACATAGGAAGGAATGAAGGTAAGAGGGAAGTAGGGAGGGAGGGAGGGAGGGAGGGAGGCAGGAGGACTTCTAGCCAAGTACTTACTGCAGGGTAGACATGGCCGATCTCAGCGGTCCTCCCTATGTGCAGCTCATCTTCATCTTCCTCTTCTGTCGTCTTCCTGTACACGGGGTTGTCGAAATTCATGCTTTTCGTGTTCTTCCGCTTCCAGTTCCTCCAGATCAGGTAGCCGCTCATGCACAGCAGGGCTATCACCACTGGGAGCGAGACACGGCACATGGGTCCTGCTGCAGCCCCCAGACGTGTCTGCAGCTACTGTGCTGCACCCCCAGGGGGTCCCTTGAGGAGAGAGTCTCTTTGTCCTCTACATCCCCTGCCCAGACCCAGCTGCTTTAAGGATTGAGGGAAGCTCCCTCCAGAGAACTTCTGCCTGAATGCTGCTACTTCCCTGAACCCTCTGAAGAAATCCACCTCTCCCCAAGTTGGAGGGGCCTGGGGAGAGATGGGTTGCTTCCCTCAAGGCTGGGGAGCCGCCAGGAGAATCTCTGGAAGGGGGCACAGCAGGGAAACACAGGCTCTGCACTAAGACAAAGGAGCACGTTAATGAGTGACGAAGAAGCTCTCAAACAGGAAGGACAGAATCGGGACAGTGGCTCCCGGAGACATAAAGCCGGCAGGGACGCCGCCGCAGCCATGCCGCCAGACCCCACACCAGGCTGTTTCACTTGGGCAACCCGGAGGGGGCATGTGAGCTCCCCTCCCTGCCCCAAGGGACCCAGCCCCAGCCGCCGAAAACCTCCAGAACGCAACCTCTACCATGCTCATGGCCACTCTTCACATGCTCCGGCGAGCCTTACCCATGAGTAAATCTGTTCCTGGACTGTGTGGTCACATTCATGGCCATGCAACATCTCATACCTCACACCACTAATATTCCAAGAGTAACGCACCGCATTGGATGGGGTTTAAAGTAGAAGGCAACCAATCTTAGAGGGAAATATATTTTTACAGATATATATAATATATGGGCTGGAGCGATAGCACAGCGGGTAGGGCGTCTGCCTTGCACGCAGCCAACATGGCCAACCCGAGTTCGATTCCTCCGCCCCTCTCGGAGAGCCCGGTAAGCTACCGAGAGTATTCGATATGCCAGACACAGTAACAACAAAGTCTCCAATGGAGACGTTACTGGGCCTGCTCGAGCAAATCGATGATCAACGGGAGGGCCTTTACTATAATATATATATAAAAGCAGACAAGTCTCAACCTTTAACAACATGTTAGTGATCTCTCATAGAAGGGTTTAATGGCCCCTGGATGAAATACAACAATCTTCACACACTTTGCTCTAAGGAAACTTTTTTGGATCATTATCAGTGATTTATTCATAGCAAACAATACAAAAGAAATCATTTCAGTTAAAAAAAATGAAAGAAAGCAAGCAGGGTGCATGCACACGGAGGGGCTCTCCTCTGGAGCGAGGGCAAGGATGGACCTGACCACCTAGGAACAAGGGACAAGGCAGAAGAGCCCTCAGCCCGGACGCTCTTTCTTGTCTCGGGGATCGAGCAATGCAGTCAGAGCTGCTCAGGAACTGAAGGAAGTAACCAAACACTTGTCATGAACAAACATTGTTTAGAAAAGAATTTTAGAAGAGAGATGAAAAATTATTAGAAATCATTGCGTTCATCAGACAGGCTTCAACAACAGAGCCAACAGTTTTCTTACTAATCTGCAATTTAAGAGTCATTGTCCTCCCGTTCATTGATTTTTTCGAGCAGGTCCAGTAACGTCTCCATTGTGAGACTTTTGTTGTTACTGTGTCTGGCATATCGAATACGTCACGGGGAGCTTGCCAGGCTCTGCCGTGCGGGCGAGATACTCTCGGTAGCTTGCCGGGCTCTCCGAGAGGGGTGGAGGAATCGAACTCGGGTCGGCCATGTTGGCTGCATGCAAGGCAGCCCTACCGTTGTGCTATCGCTCCAGCACTAATCTGCAATAACTGGTTCAAAAACAGAATAACACATCCACGATAGCGCAGCAGAAAACTATCAACTATCTTGGAGGAGTCCAGGAGGAATGGGCAAGTCCTGTATGCTTTGGAGACTGGAGTGAAGCAGGGAACGGGAGAGATAGGACAGTGGGCAGGGCGCTTGACTTACACGCAGCTGACCCAGGCTTGGTCTCCAGCACCTCAGGAGTGATCCCTGAGTACAAAGCCAGGAGTAAGCCCTGGGCACCACCAGGGAAGGCCCCAAACCCACACCCACCCTGCCAAATAAAAATTTTACTAAAGCACAGAAAAGAAGACTCAAAATAAATAAAAAAATATTGGCCTTCCAGACCAGAAACACCAATACTGTGAAAATGTAAATTTTCTTCATCATCCACAGCGTGGAATTCCAGCGTAAGAATTTTCACGATGCAGCTGCAGCTTGTCTAAAAGACGAACAGGATAAAAATAACTAAGAAAATGTTGCAAGAATGAAAGTGACCTGCCCGAGATATGAAGCACATCCTGACGATGTGCTTCTAGCGTAGAGAAGGAGGCGGCCCGGTCTCAAAGGAGCAGGGACAGCCCCAATGCAGATGATGACAGGATCGGAGCACGTGGTTTATAATAAACGTGACACTTCAAGTCTGAGGCAAAGAACAGAAGACCCAGTAACGCTTTGGGGAAAATGAGAAAGGCAAGTAGGAAAAAGGAAAAGAGTGAGATCTCTGTCACAAACGATACTCTGAAATTCTCAAGGATCTGGTATCCAAATACTAACGAATGTTTAAAGCCACAGAAAAATGTGTAGAATATTTTGTTGTTGTTGTTGTTGTTGTTTGGTTGGTTGGTTTTGGTACCTGCTGTGCCATGTCTCTGGTCTCTTTAGGGAGATATCCTAATCATGAGAATGAGGCAAACTTTCCTCAACAAGAAATCCTAGTACAAAATGATCAAAGAGATCTAATACACACACACACACACACACACACACACATATATATATATATAAATAACTAAACCCCTTTCAGTTCCAGACCCTCCCTCCCCTCCCTCCTGGCTTTGCTCAAGCTGCCTTCATGATCAATCTTCACTGGGCAACTAAAGTATCAATCATATCCACAAGCATCCTCAGAGCGAGAGGCAAGCGGCCAGCTTCCCTCCATGCCCAACCCATGGACCAGCCTTGTGCTCAAAGCACTCTGTGGCTTTTCCCGCAGCTCTTCTGCCACATTACAGCATGTATGTGTATATATATATATATATGCATAAGCTCCTACTCAGCTTAAATCTTAGTGGCAGATAGAGAGACAATTTTTGTAATATATATGTAATATATAAAAAATCTAACTTTAATGTGTATAAGGATTATTACAGATATGAGTAAGACCAAAAAGTCATGAGAAAAACTGAAGGCTGTGAAATGGGCAAAATCCATGAAGGCTGAAATGTAAATAAATAAAAGTAGCTACTTGGGCATAAGCTTATGAACAAATCTTCGACCTCACCGGAAAGATCATGGAAAGATTTATCTCCCACTCCCCAGAGAAGCAGATATGAAGAGCATTGATTCCACCATGGCCGGTGAAGTCCAGGAGGCAGCACACAGGAGCCTCGCATCAGCGGCAGCAGCAGACCGGATGGAGGGAGGCATCTTCCCTCCACAAAGCAAAGCTCTGAGAGACCCCGTCCACTCCTCTCAGTCTCCTGGTCTCTCCTGTGGACCCTTCCAATGCCAATGCCAGACACGCTACACCAGCCCTCCATAATCCACAGGTTTTAGCCTTTTCAATAAACACAAACATCTGCAGGAGACCTGGGGCTCTGCCCACGTGAGGCCCTGGTTTCAACCCCCAGCACCAGAAAGCACACAGGGAATTCCCAGGATAAAAGTGCAGTGTCCACTGTTTACAATAGCCAGAATCTGGAAAACACCTGAGTGCCCGAGAACAAATGACTGGTTGAAGAAACTCTGGTACATCTACACAATGGAGTACTATGCAGCTGTTAGAAAAGATGAAGTCATGAAATTTACATACAGGTGGTACTACATGGAAAGTATCATGCTAAGCGAAATTAGTGAGAAAGAGAGGGACAGACATAGAAAGATTGCATTGCATTAAACATAAAGTAACAAAATAGGAGACTAACACCCAAGAATAGCCAAGATAAGTGCCAGGAGGTTCACTCCATGGCTTGGAGGCCAGCTGCACATGCTAGGGGAAAAGGCAGCTCAGAGAGAGAAGGGAGCAACAAATAAAGGGTATTGGGAGGATCCTCCCAGGAGGGGAGAAGCATGCTGAAAGTCGACTATAGACCGAACATGATTGCCACTCAATGCCTCTTTTGCAAACCACAACACCCAAAAGGAGAGAGAGAACAAAAGGGAATGCCCTGCCACAGAGGCAGGGTGGGATGGGGGGATGGGGGGCGGGAGGGATACTGGAATCAGAGGTGGTGGAAAATGGGCACTGGTGGAGGGATGGGCACTCGATCATTGTATAATTGAAACCCAAGCACAAAAATTTGTAAGTCTACAACTGTACCTCACGGTGTTTCACTAATAAAAAATTTTTTAAAAAAAGTGCAGTGTCCAAGATCCCACCAGGAGATGATGAGACAGCCGGGATCCAAGAGAAAATCAGGGTAGGAGAGAACAAACCAGCCCCTGTGGTCCTTTGCCAGGCTTAGCCAAGTGCTATGTGCTGGCGCTACTGAAGCCTTTTCAGTTCCAGACCCTCCCTCCCCTCCCTCCTGGCTCTGCTCAAGCTGTCTTCATGATCAATCTTCACTGGGCAACCGAAGTATCAATCATATCCACAAGGAAAGCATCCTCAGAGCGAGAGGCAAGCGGCCAGCTTCCCTCCATGCCCAACCCATGGACCAGCCTTGTGCTCAAAGCACTCTGCGGCTTTTCCCGCAGCTCTTCTGCCACATTACAGCATCAACACAGCTTGACCTTGGGGCTTTCAGTAGCATCATGCATTGACCTGGGTTAGGTGTGTGTCTATCCAATAAGATGAGAGTTTGGAGGGCAGGAGCCAAGCCTGTTCAGCCCCCTGCCCTCCCCACCAGACAGTCTGGCCCAGAGTAGTTGGTGTTTGCGGGAAAAACAAACAGGAAGCAGGACAGGAAGACGCAGTCAAAGACAGGCAAATACTCTATGGACTCCTGGGCTCCGTCCACGTGGCAGACACCGCCAGAGACGGGGAAGCGGGTTGAGCGTTCAGCCCCACAGATTCGACACTTCAGCTTCCCCCCAGATGGCAAAGTTGGGCCGAGCGGGGATGGTGGTGGCAAGATGGGCTCCCGGGTCCAGATCCTGTAGGCTATGCCAAGCTACAAAACCAATCTCAGCCAAGACTTGGCAGTGGGAACTCCATTTTCGGGACCTTCCCCCAGACCCTGGCGGGTAGGAGAGCGGTGGTGGGTCTCTCCTCCACTCAGAGACTTGGGCCCAGACTTACCCATGGGCACAATGATGCCAATGACAGCAGCAGTGACGGTGGAACCTATCTTGCCACCTTCGTTCCCATCTGCAAGACACAAAGAGGTGCAGGATAAGGTGAGTGCCAGGCCTGCGATGGTGGCCAGTCTTCCCAGGGTCCTTCCATATATGAGTGAGGCACAAGCAGGAGAGGGCAGACGTCTGCTCAAATGGGGAAAGCGAGTCTGGCTGGCACTTGGGGGCCCTGGGGGAAGCAGCAGGGCTGGGCCTCACACCCCTAGTGCCGCCTCTCTGCAGTCACTTTGCAGGAGAGCGGGTTCTGGGTGGGCACTGAGGTTCCAGACCTCTGCCCCTCTCACGTTGCTGCTCTTGTGTCTGTAGTCAACATCAACGTGATTCACTTAGTTTCAGTGAATCCTCAGAATAGAGAAACCCTGGATGTGAAACCTTGACTATACTTAACTGCTTGGTTGGCTTTGGTTGAGAATCCTAATCCTTTCATAATATATATATATATATTTTTTTTTCTTTTTGGGTCACACCAAGTGATGGTCAGGGGTTACTCCTGGCTCTGCACTCAGGAACCACTCCTGGCAGTGCTCAGGGGACCATATGGGATGCTGAGAATTGAACCTGGGTCAGCTGCGTGCAAGACAAAAGCCCTACCCGCTGTGCTATTGCTCCAGCCCCTCATAATATAAATATTTGTGGGATTCTTTTGTCTGCTTATTTTTGTTTTGGGGTTACACTTGACAATGCTCAGCGGTTACTCCTGGGTCTGCACTCAGGAATTACTCCTGGTGGTGCTCAGGGGACTAAATGGGATGCCAGGGATGGAACCTGGGTCGGCCGCATATAAGGCAAGCGCCGTCCCCGCTGCACTATTACTGCTCCAGACCCCTCGTATTATAAATATTCTATTTATCTGACTTTAAAGCAGGCGTGCTGTGCAAACTCAGTGAGGGCGCTCACACAGACGCTTGCTCCATGCCTGCTGGCACAGCCTTGCTCGGGTCAGAGGTCGGGAGTGGGGCTGTGGCTGAGGCCTGAACAAACCATCTGGCTCTGCTGCTTCTGGGGGTGCATATATGAAAGGGGGTGTATGAAAGCAGAGTCTAAATGGAAAACATTGTATTTGGGGGTGGGTAGTGCTGCTCAGGGGCCAGGAGTTGCTCCCAGCGATTCTCAGACGGCCAGCTGTGATCTCAGTGTGGGGGCCCGAGCGCGAGGTGCTTCTTGCTCTGAGTTGCTGGTGACTGGCCAGACAACCCAGCGGTGCTCAAGGGACCTGATGGGGGTCAGCTGCATGCCGGGCTAGCACCTTAACCCTTGTACTAGCTCTTTGGTCCTTGTATTTTCTTTAAAAAAATGTATGTTGCTCCATGTTCTTCGTATTATAACCGTGCTCGTTAGAGCTTTGTCCAGCATGGTGGGGCCTGAAAGGTCTTTCCGGGGTCTCCCCGACAGCACTCTGAGGTGCGAAGGGGACCCAGCCCCTGCGTTTGCTCTGAGACAGTTCCTGCAAGGGCACGGGCCCCACCTCTCGGCATGTGACTGCGGGGACTCTAGGGGACCGAGTAACTAAAAAGAGGAAAGGGCCACACAGCTATGACACAGTGCAACCACCAACTGATCCTAGGACCCAGCCCACGGTGGATAATACGTGGGCCTTGAGCACCCTCCCCCCCACGCCCTGCTCAAAAGACTCCACCCAAGTGCATCCACCTGCAGCACCCGCATCCACCTGCAGGAGGTGCTGTCCACTATGAAGAGCCAGTGGTTGGGGCAGGACAGGCCCTGAGACAAAGGGCTGGAGAGACATCACATGAGGTAAGATATTTGCCTTGCATGCGTGTGACCCTGGTTCCATCCCTGGCACTGCATATGGTCTCCCAAAGACCTCCAGGTGTGTCCCCTGAGCACAGAGCCAGGAGTAGCTTCTGAACACTGTCAGGTGAGAAGCTCAAGCCCAACTCCCCCTCAAAAAAGAGAAAGGGCTGCTAAGTCCTTGGGCTGTGCAGAAGTGAAGAACACTGACAAGTTTATTCTTGGACCGGAGTCATTGTGCAGCTGGTAAGGTGCTTGCCTTGCATGCAGCTGACCCAGATGCAATTCCCGGCAGCACATTCAGTCCTGAGCCCCAGCAGGAGGGATCTCTGAGCACAGAGCTAGGAGCAAACCCAGATGCAATTCCCGGCAGCACATTCAGTCCTGAGCCCCAGCAGGAGGGATCTCTGAGCACAGAGCTAGGAGCAAACCCAGATGCAATTCCCGGCAGCACATTCAGTCCTGAGCCCCAGCAGGAGGGATCTCTGAGCACAGAGCTAGGAGCAAACACTGCTGGGTGTGGCCCAAACAACAAAAGAAAAGTCTGTTCTCATATGTCAACTCCCCCTAACAGGTAATTCCCCCAAAAAAGATGTTTGTGGGGCTGGAGAGATAATACAGCAGATAGGGTGCTTGTCTTGCACACAGCCAACCCAGCTTTAAGACTCAGCACCCCATATGGTCCCCGAGGCCTGCCAGGAGGAATCCCAGAGCACAGAGCCAGGAGTAAGCCCTGAACACATCTGGATGTGGCAGGAGGGGAGAGGGGAAGGGAAGGAAGGGAAAGGGAAATATAAAGATGTTTGCTAGTTCCTGAGAGAGAACACCTGGCAGTAGCAATTACTGCTCCAGATAATCATTAAGTGGGGAACTTAACTCTGTTTGCCCCAGGGTCTGGAAAGATGCTCAGGCATCTTCCGAGGTCACTAATGGGGAACCTACCCCAGGGAGCTGCCAACTGACAGCGGAGCTTTGCTCCGGCCAAATCCTTGCTCCCAAGTGGTGGCGGTGACGTGTGGCCCACAGACGTGACCTTGGCCGAGTTTGTGATGCAGGCAGGGGCAGGGCTGCTGCGCAGAGCCGGGCTCAGGCAGGAAGGAGCTCTTCTCAGACCCTTTCTCATTCATGGGCACCCAGGACATCTGAACACAGGTCAGGGCTCTCCTGTCCCGCTTCTCCCTTGGCTTCCCCCGCGCACAGGTCCCAGTCACCACGTTTCGATGACCCTCCCCTGCCCCGCCACCCCAGGGTGCCTCCCGGCTGGCAGAAGTGCACCCAAGAGTCACTTCCTTACAGTGCTGGGAGTGGTTGCTGGTGGCAGGGCTGGGGGTAGACATGGGAGCCGTGGCGACGCTCGCTGAGCTGGGGGCTGCAGCTGCCTGGCTTGGGGTCTCTGTGCTGTGGTTCTGGTAGGTGGCGCTGTGGACAGTGGTCCCAGGGGCTCTGGTGGTGTCCGCTGTTGTCCCGGTCGTGGTCGAGGTGAAGGTCGTGGTTGAGGTAGATTGAGGTGCTGGAAGGGAAGTTGCAGATGGGGAAGCTGTGAGCGAGCATGTAAGCCACTGTTCTCGGACTACACAGAAGAGCTCGAACCCAGGGCTCAGCCCAAACGTGCTTCCACAAAGCCTCCCTGCCCTCCCAGGGGGCTTGGAGCAATTCGTTGCCTGAAGCCCAAGCTGCAGGCTTGACTTTTCTGGGGTCCAGGAATGTCCACAGGAGAGGGGGGTCAGGAGCTGCCCAGGTCTGGGGTGTGTGGGGGAGGGTTGTCGATCTGCTAGGATTTTACACTCGTACACCTTTAGCTTTAACCTTCGCTCCATTTTAAAACCACTGAACCTGGAAATCACAAATGACACCATTAACTTAAGCTCCAACAAAAGTCCTTTGCCCTACATCAAGCCTGGGCAGTAAGTACAAACTTGCCTGCGTGAAGCATTACCTGCCAGTCTCAATCCCATTCCCAGAGGGAGATGGGCGAGTGCATGGTCACCTGCACATTACTGCAGAGTAACACAGTAACATATCACCTGCAGTAACACAGTAACATAGAACCTGCATATTACCTGCAGTTACACAGTAACAGAGAACCTGCACAGTACCTGCACATAGTAGCATATTATCTGCATATTACCCATACAGTAAGTAGTAACATATTACTTGCATGTTGCCTGTACAAATAACACAGTAATATATTACCTGCATATTAACTGAAACCAGGAGGATGAAGAGTTTTTTTTCTTTCTCAGTTGTTAAGGGGGCTACACCTGGCAGTGCCTGGGGGTCCATGAGGTACTGGGATCAATCCCCAGAGCCTTACACATCTCAGCCTTTTGTTCCACTTGAGAGACTTCCCTGGTCTTGGGGACCAGGGGATCTCATCTGAGATTCTCAAGGGGTTCATAAAATCCCTGACATCGAGCTCTACATGCAGGTGGACATGCATCTTTCTTGGGGGTGAGGAGAGCTTTGAAAGGACCCCAGGGGATGCGGCACACAATGGTGGTGAGAGAGGAGGCAGCAAAGGTCACAGCAGCCCAGAGAATCGAGCAGGCGGGGATCGCTGGGTGCCCCCGAGTGGAGGTGCAAGCAGGCCGGGCCTGTGGGGGCTCACCGCGGTAGCACCTCTTCATGTCTGGGCCCAGCCACAGGGTGTCAGGACAGGCACACGTGTACTTGGGAGAGTGGCTGGAGGTCTGGGGAGCGGGAAGGCACAGGTACTCGCAGCCTCCGTTGGGCTGGGCACTCAGCTCGCAGGCGTCCGCAGCTGGAGGGAGAGAGAAGGGGTTGGGGCACAGAGTGTCCCCTGGGCCCAGGCCCCTCCTGTCCAGCAGGTGGGAAAAGCTGTCCCCAGGCCCCTCCAAGCACTTAACTGCCATGGACCCCACAGCTCAAGGAGCACCAACTTCTCAAAGCTCGACTTGTAGAAATTGGGGGGCAGAATCTAAGCTGAGACCAGCCAGTTCCAGATGGGTTTCCCTTATACTGTACACCCTCATCCTACCCCCTTCTCTCTCGTTTTTTTTTCTGCCTCATCCTGCGATGCTCAGCGCTTACTCCTGGCTCTGCACTCAGGGGTTCAGGGGGCCATCTGGGTGCTGGGATTGACCTCGGGCAGGTTGCATACAAGGTAAATAGTCTGGCTTCAGCCCCGCCATCTCTCTTATTAAAGTTTCTAGATCTGGAATCAGACACTCCCCCATTTGGCTGCCCAGCCTCAGTAATAAGAAGTTTCCTCGTCTCCTAGAAATATAGGCAGACACGGCCTGGATTCCTGCCAGAAAGCTCGTGACCCAGGTTCCTGAGCTCTTGACCAGCTCCCGGCCCAGCTCCCCAAGGAGGAGCGCGAACGCCATCACGGAGCCAGCTCTCCTTCTGCCTCCTGTTAACATGATCTGGCCTCTCAAAGCTCCCAGTTCCCCGGTTGTGACAAGAGGCCGGGGAGAGCCACCCTTTGTCAGACTGCACAAACAGGGTATTTACTCCTATGTCTATGCTACAGACTCAGCCTTAATGCGCCAAAAGCTTGAGGCCAAATGAAATAAAAGGTGACAGCAAAGATCTTCCAGCGAGGAGTGGCTGCGGGGGCTCCTGGGGGTGCCGGCAGGATGTGGACATGGCCTGCGGGGGTCAGGGAGCACGCGGGCTCACCTCTGGGCTGCTTCAGCTCATGGAAGATGACAATGTCATGTGGGTTATTGAGGTTCTCAGCGAGGACAGAGATTTCCTGGCCATTGAGCCGATTTGCACTGAAAATGGCCTCGTTCTCCAGGTCTGTCCAGTACACCTTGTCCTGTGGGGAAGAGGCAGATGATGGTGGCCCTAACCCATGACCCATGACACCACCAGAAGGGAAGCCCCATGAACTACCCAGCCTCTCCCCAGAGCTCTCCTGGCCTCAGATTCATGCTGGGACCCGAGGCTAGCATTAATGTCCTGCTTGGGGTCCTGGGTCCAGCAGAAGGGCATGGTTGGGTGTTGACTGCAGCAAGGGTGGCTGGGGCCTGGGACCAAGACCTCGAGGGTGTCAGGGAGAACGTTCCCGCTGGGCCTCCTCCACCCAAGTGGCACACACCTGCAGACCATGGTGGGCTCCCAGGAGGCGAGTGTGCCCGTGGGCAGTCCTGCACAGGTCAAGATGCACTGCACATGCCCATCACACGCATGGGCACTGGGGTCTTGCATTGGCACCACCTTTACACTTACAGCTCAGACACACACATGTTCAGGCCCACTCCACACACGGGCTACGCAGAGCCAGGTGGGTCCCAGCACATCACGAGTGGCACCAGGGCAGGAGCCGAGTGCTGGAGGAGGGGTCACCATGCAAACATGGCCAGCACCACCCCCCTGGACCAACGTCCCTCACTTTCCCACCTTTTGAGGGTGGGGTGCGTTTGGGGGAAGAGGTCAGTGTGGGCTTCCTCATTTCCTAAGAAGAGAGGCTGCGGGGTGAACACCGAGGGGTTCCAGCACTAGGACTGAGGTGCCAGCTCTAGGACCCCAGGGTCACACATGTGCTGGACTGAGCAGTGACCTCTCTGGGGCCAGTTCTAGAGGTCACTGGGTCTTAGGAAAATTCTTCCTCCCCCACTACAGGCCATCTGTATCCCGGGCACAGACCTGGACCTCAGACTGGACACACCGGGACCAGAGCTCCCAGAGGGTGTGGGGGGAGCCAGGCCCCAGGCGGGAACTGGGAAGACGCCAGCAGCTCATAGATTGGCACGACAGATCAGACCTGTCCCCACCTTGCTGCCCGTCCTCATGTGTTCACTCCCTGTGAGCATGTCTCAGGGATTTACCCACTCTGCACTGACCCTTTTCTGTGGGCCCCCGTGACCGGCTCACCTCGAACACGGCGACCCCAAACGGGTGGCTCAGAAAGTCGGGGGAGGAGATGAGCATCTTCCTGCCGCGGCCACTGAAGTCCACGCTGGACAGCTGGTGCAGCTTGGAGTCTACCCAGTACAGACGCTGGCTCAGCAAATCTGGGGGGTGGGGAACAGGGTCAGAGGAACAGGCCATGGTCTACAGCCGGATCTCCTCTGTGCCCATCTCCACCCTCATTTCCAGGCATCAGGTGCAGACCAGCCTGGGCTGCCTTCAGGAAACGACGCCGTGGCACTGGAGGGGCGGCAGAAAAAGCCCGAGCCACAGAGGGTCAGGAGTCCACAGGGACCATGCCCATCTGGGAGCACCCCCATCCCGGAGCACTCCCATTCGGGAGCACCTCCATCTGGGAGCACTCCCATCTCGAAGCACCCCACTCGGGAGCATCCACGCCTGGGAGCACCCCCACACAGAAGCACTCACACCTGCACCTGGGAGCACTCCCACCAGGGAGTATCTCATCCGGGAGCACTCCCATCTCAGAGCATCCCCACCCAGGGGCACGCCCACCCAGAAGCACCTCCACCTGGGAGCACCTCTATCCTGGAGAACCCTGATCCAGGAGCACCCCGATCTGGGAACGGCACCACCCAGGAGCACCAGACTCACCCAGGGTGATTCCATTGGGCCATTCAATGTTGTCTGACACCAGAGTCTGCCGGCCCACACCGTTGAGCCCAGACTTCTCGATCTTGGCCTGGTACCCCCAGTCTGACCAATACATGAACCTAAAGGAGAGAAGAATGCAGGCTGGTTTCCACCGGATGATGTGATGGGAGGGCAGGGAATCTCAATGGCCCCCATCCTCAGAAGAGATGGAGGCTATGCTTCACGGTCACTAGTCAGCTGCAAAAATAACCCCACAGGACCCTCCAAACCTTAAGTGTCCAGGGAGGCCTGAACATCCAGGGTTCACTGTTTCGGCTCACAGCTGTGAGACCCACTTCCCACTGGTCCCATGAGGCCCCAGAGCGGGAGGCTGGGCAGAGGCCCTTGTCAGTCTTGTTCCTTCTGGTCTCCTGGGGAGAGAGGGGCCCTCTCCATCCACCCTCCTCAGTAACCCTGTTCGCTCCTGCCCCAAGCAGCTCAGAAGAGCCCAGTTACTATGCCCGGAGCAGGCTGTGAGCTGGTGGGTTTCAACGGTGGGGTCCGCAGACAGGGACTCTCCTGGAAAACTCTCTCTGTAGCTGTTGTGATGGGCTTGGGAGTGCCACCTCAAAAAGTGGTGGCAGCACCTCAAAAAGCAGCATTTTCTCTAACTTTAGAAAGCGCAATTTTCCCCGTGACCCCGGCCTTCTCCGCAGCCTCTCCACAGCCCAAGACACTGGGGGAGGGGCACGCTCACCCTCGCAGGGGATCAACGGCGATGGCCCGGGGCTCGCTGAGGCCACGGCTGAAGAGTGTGCACCTACGGCTGCCGTCAACCGTGGCCACAGAGATGGTCTTGTTGCCCGAGTCGGTCCAGTAGAGGTGCTGGTGCACCCAGTCCACCGCCAGGCCCTCGGGTGAGTGCAGCTGCTCGTCCACCAGCACCTCCTGCTCGGCTGGGTCGCTGGCCTTGTCCATGTAGGCACTAGGAGTAACAGAGCTGGGGTCCTTCCGCTGTGGCCTGGGGACCCAGCCCCTCCCACTCCCTGCTCTGGGCCATGGATTCAAGAGGCTCTGACAGGAACTGAGTCGGCGTCTTCCACACCTTCCCGGTGCCACAGACTAGAACCAGCCAATCTGCCCAGGAGCAGCTCGGCCAGGAAATTGGCAGCGGGTAATCCAGGGACTGATTTCAAAAGGCGTCAAGTGACGACCACAGCAGAGAAACTGCGCTGGTCGCTGGCTTTGGGGGCTGGGTAGGATCAAACCCAGGGCCTCACACATCCATCATTCTGGGACCCAGATCCATCATGCTCCGTGGTTTGGGGGTATGTCTCTGTGTTTGCCGTATGGCAGGCACATGCTAGACGTCCCTCTGTCCTCCCCTGCACTGTCACTTAACTGGGTATCCCCAGGTCAGGACAGCAGCTGTCCCACCAAGTGGACCTCAAGACAAAGAGAAGATATGCCCAAGGGGGCTGGGGTGTGCAGGGCAGCAGGTAAGAACTGAGAAGTACAGAGAGGAGCTGGACCCATGCCTAGATCCAGACTGTGGGGCCACAGTGAAGGGCCCACGGGGAGTGGGGGTGGCAACGCCGTCGAGGAGGGTCCTGGCGAGTGGAGGCCTCAGGCCATTCCCTTGTTGTCTGTGACTGTGGCCAGGTCTGGCCTCTGGGCACCCCCAGGGAGGGGGCCACAGCTCACCTGTAGATCTTGCGGTAGGAGAGGTCACACCAGTAGATACGGTTGGTGGCGACTTCCACGTCGAGCGCCACCACGTTCTTAAGCATGGGGATGAGGCGCGAGTAGTCGCGCTTCACCAGGTCGATCTTGCGCACCTCATGCCGGTTGGTGAAGATCAGGGACGGGCTTGTGCCAGCTGCCAAGCGAGGGTGGGGGCACAGGTCAGAGCCGGGCAGGGTTGGGGCTGACTGGGTGGCTGAGCGGCCCCTCCCCTCCGCCTCACGGGTTAGCAGAGCAGATGGACAATGGGTTTAAAGAGCAAAGGCTCAAAGAACCACACCTGACTGAGGGACCTCTTCCCCTCTGCCCTAACTCCTGAGGTCCTCTGAGATATGCACAGTGGCTTTCCAGTGTAATCCCAGGGTTCCATGCAGTCTCACTGCTCATCTCCAACATAGCATGACCCCAGCCACGAGACCACCTGCACTAACCAGACCCAGGTCACCAGGCCATCTGCGCTACCCAGACCCCGGCCACCAGGCCACACTGCACTACCCAGACCTCAGCCGCACCATCAGCCATAGCAGAGCTAACTGCCTTTGGGATCTGCTCCTCTGGGAAGCTGTTACAGCCCCACCTCTGCTTCAGGACCCCTGTGATATTCCAGAAGGGCAGAAAGAGTGAGGATGTTTTAGAAGGATGACGGAAGTGCCAGGGTTGCAGCACAGTGGGGCTGTGGCGAGACTGTGGAGGAGATCAGGATGTGGCTGTGGTCTTCAGACCAGTGAGCCGGTGCAGAGACTGCTCCACTGGGAGCCAACAGCAGCAGGGAATGTGTGTGATCTTTCCACACTTATATGCCCAGGCTAGAGACAGCACACACACACGAATACACATATGCACACATACACATGCATACATGCACACATATGCACATACACATTACCAGGCTGGAGAGAGCACACACACACACACATACATACACATGCACGCACACACATTTCCAGGCCACAGATAAGCACACACACAAGCACACACCATGTGCACACACATGCATACACGCACACATTCACATGCACACACACACTTTCTCAGGCTGGAGACACGAGCACAATAATGTACACAAATGCACACACATGCATGCACAACACGCACACACATGCACACACATTCCCAGGCTGGAGATAGTGTGCATATACACACATGCACACATGCGCACACACTCACATGGACACACAACATTCCCAGGCTGAAGACATACACCTACATACACATGCGCACACACATACACACACATTGCGAAGCTTGAGACAACATGCATGTACACACATGCACAAACACACACACTTGCACATACACGCATATTCTCAGGCTAGTCTGAGAGTTTGGGGTGCTGGAGAGAGAACACGAGGTTGGCTGAATGCGTCAGTTGAAGTCTAAAGACTGGATGTGTCTTTAGACACCTACACAGAGGTTCTCGAGGGCAGTTTGGTATCTGAAGTTCACAATGTGCTGATGGTGGCAGCGTATTCACCGGAAACTCGCTACACAGCCATGCGGCACACGACCTGCCTTAGCACATCTCATGTGAGATTCAGCACCAGATGGGAGACAACCCGGGGTCCATCCCTGACATCACACGACCCCTCAAGCACCCCAGGAATGGCCCCAAGACAATGAGCCCAAACATCACTGGGGGTGGCCCCCAAACAAAGAAAATCGCATAGATGGTATGTGCAGTGGGGACCACAGGAGTCTGCAGAGAATCCCAAATCCTACACGAAGGCTCCTGTATGGTCACCACTCCAGAAGCTGGGCCCTGAGATAGCTTGACCCCTGCCCTGCCCCTGCCAGCTGCAGTGGCACCACCTTCACCGGGGCAGGAAGCCCTGAAGGTCAGCGCCAGGGATGGGCCGGAACCCACCCCAGCTCCCCATTTTCTTGCTGTGTTCCAGACCTTCCCATCCACCCCATACCCTGCTGCTAGACACTTCCGACCGTGGGGACCCTGTGCTCTGCCCAGAGGCCCAGAGACAGGGACCAGGTGGCCTGCCAAGTGCCAGCTGGAAAACCCAAGGGGAAAAGGGCCCATCGGTAGCTCAGGGGACCCTGCTGCTAAGAGTGGTCCTCAGACAGAGAGTGCCTCTGGGGGTGGGGGCCACAGACCTCAGGGACAGAGCCTCTTCCAGGTCCTGATGGTCTTCCTAAAGTCTCCTCCTAAGGCTGAAGATGGGTGTCAGAGCCTGTATATATGCATGTGTGTGCACGTGTGTGTATATGTGGGTATGTAAGAGCTTGTGTATGTGTGAGCCTGTGTGCATGTGTGTGCGCATGTGTGCTGTACCACCTGTGCACATGCGCCTGTGTGCGTCGGTGCCTCCCACATATCAGAGTGCAGCTACTTCCTGCGCCCTTCAGAAGCGGCCCCTGCAGCCTCCCCCTGGGGGTGGGGTGGGGCTTACCGACGGCCTTGCAGTTCTTGGTCAGCGCGTCCATCTCATAGCCGGGGTGACACTCGCACTTGAAGTAGCCCTTGTAGTTGACACAGATCTGGCTGCAGGCATCGGGGTCCTCACACTCATCAATGTCTGTGGAAAGAGGGGGGCTCAGGCCTGGGAGGGGCTGCCTCCACTGGGGCACGGGCAAAGGGGCTCACCGCTGCAGGGGTGTGGGGAAAGGGCCTCTCCACTGGAGGGACGTGGGGGAATGGGCTCATTGCTACAGGACGCAGAGGTGCAGAGGAAGGGGCTCACCTCCGCAGGTCTTCGGGTCCAGGAGCCGGTAGCCGGCAGGGCAGGCGCACTCGAAGCCGATCTTGAGGTCGGTGCAGATGTGAGAGCAGCCGCCGTTGTTGTGCAGGCACTCGTTCAGGCCTGGGGAGGGACGCGGACACCTGAGGGCCGGGTGGTTGGGCAGGGGCAGAGGCAGAGCAGAGGTGGGCAGAGGTAGGCAGCCAGGTGCGGAAGCAGAGGTTTGGGCGGCAGGAGTCCCACTGAGCCACCCTGCCAGGCTGCACAGATGTGGCAGGGCCAGGAAGCGGGTCCTTTGCTCCCCACTGCCGAGGGGCTTGCCTTTCACGAGCCCGTTTCTTACAGCCCCTCCTGCCACATTGTCCCAGGGACGAGAAGCCGGCAGGGACCAAGTCAGGGCACCCCAGGGAATCCTCCAAAACTAGTGTCTCCACCTGGAGGTGTCCCATGGCCTCCTCCACTCTCCTTCCATGCAGATTTCTGCTCCCTGACTCAGGTGCCCTCCTGGGACACAGACTACTGGTCCCTGTCCCCCATCGGACAAACACCAAGTGGCGGCTGCTGAGCTGAGCCCAGGGCCTTTGTCCTCGTGGAGCTGGAGCTATGTCAGCCCCCTGCCACCTGTGTCCGATTCTCCCCTCTCCTGCCAGCCCGCCTGATTCCTCTACTCAGTCATGGCCCGGCCCCTTGGCTGAGTAGAGGAAACCAACTGTGGCAGGGGGCAGGAGTATCTGGTTCCCCTCCCTCTCCTCAGTCTCGGCAGGGCAGGGAGACCAGGACCAAAGCGCCCCAAGTTCTCACAGCATCTTCTGGGCTTTCGAACCACAGGGGTGGAATCCTGCAAGCCAGAAAGGTGCCAAGCTGCCCCGCTGCCTGCAGGCTCGTGCACTGCCGCTCCCATCAGCCAAGCAAGCGAACCAAGGGCGCCGTTGGGGCCATGTGCCCAGCTGCTCCACGCTGCCCGCCCGCCCCGGCTATGCACAGCTGTGGGCACCCCACCTCCAGGCCGAACCAAGCTTAGGGATGTCCCCTTTACCCCTGGGCCTCCTTCTGTTTCCCCGGGAGATTGATGGAACTGAAAAGAACAAAATCACAGTGATAGCATGAATGGGAGAACCAGGGTGACAGCCAGGCCCAGGCCTCAAGCCCCCGAGTCCTGACGTTCTGGATGGCCCTGTGGCACCATCTGCAGGAACCTTGCTGCCCCCCCAAGCCCTCCCCCTCCTTTACCAAACTAGCTCTCCACGGTCACCCAATCATTCACAGCCTACCACCTGTACCTCAGCTGCCACTTGTCATCCACTCACAACCTCACCAACCACCTTGTCCCTCAGCCATCACTCATCACCTGCTCACTCACTACCTCACCATCCTATCCCCTCAGCTGCCACTCGCCTGTCACCTGCTCACTCGCTACCACACCATCTTATCCCCTCAGCTGTCACTCACTTGATATCTGCTCACTCGCGACATCATGACGATTCTGTCTCCTCCGATGTCATTTATCTGATCATTCACTACTTCACTAACCATCCTGTCCCTCATCTGTAAATTCACCTTCACGTCACTCACTACCTCACTTGCCATCCTGTGCTTCAGCTGTCATTCACCTGTCACCCGATCACTCACAACTTCACTAACCATCCTGTCCTGTGGTCATCATTCACTTGTCACTTGTCTCACTTGCCATTCTTCAACTGTCGTTGTCACCTGCTCACACACCACTTCACTCATCCTATCCCTCAGCTGTCATTCCCTCATCATTCACTGCCCCCCTTTTCAGACTACCCCTGGGCTGTCATTTCTTGTCACCTTCCATGTACCTACTCCTCCAGACATCACCCCACCTCTTTCCTGAGAAACAGCAACAACTCAGCTCTGATGACATTTCTGGACCCTTGATGGAGGGGCACAGGTGGGAGAGCTCAGGGTGACTAACGACGGTGGAAGGAGGTGGGAACAGAGCCCATGCCTGGCTGAGGAGGCCAGGACAAGCCCAGGACACTGGATCCAGATGTGCCTCTCCCTGTCCACCTCCTGGCTGGCCAGCAACCAGACTGCGGCTGGTAGCAGATTCCCTAGACCCACTTAGTCTTTGCAGCCTGCGGTGACTGAGGTGGGGCCCTGGGCAGGGGGTAAGTTCCATGTGAGGTTCCATCAGGGGACAGAATGGCCGTTCCCCCTCCCAGTCCATGCACACCCCACATGCTCACCCCTGCATGCACACACAGCTCACGTGCAGAGGCCCAGACAGGCCTGGGACACAGACATAGGCCACACATGAACTCAGGACAGCTGCCTCCAGGGAGGCACCAGGGCCAACGGCACACAGAGACAGGCATGAGCAGCAGACAGAGCAAGGGATGGTTCAGAGGGTTAGTAGGCCTGGCTAACCCCCGGTCGGGGTGCTGGGGGGTGTTAGCCCTGCCAAACTTCCAGTCGGGGTACTGGGGGGTGTTAGCCCTAAATCCCAGTTGGGATGCTGGGGTGTGTGTTAGCCCTGCTGAACTCCCGGTTGGGGTACTGGGGGGGTGTTAGCCCTAACTCCCAGTCGGGATGCTGGTGGGGGGTGGTGTTAGCCCTGCTGAACTCTTGGTCGGGGTGTTGAGGGATATTAGCCCTGCCGAACTCCTGGTCAGGGTAGCGGGAGGTGTTAGCCCTGCCTAACTCCCAGTCAGGGTAAGGTAAGGTAAGGTAAAGGCCCTCCCGTTGATCGTCCAGTCAGGGTAGTGGGGGGTATTAGTCCTAACTCCCAGTTGGGGTGATGAGGGGTGTTGGCCCTCCCAAACTCCCAGTCAGTGGGAATGTAGCTTCCCTGGGCGCCTGGGAGGGGAGGGCTACCAGGAAGGGCTTTCGGGTGTGGCCCAGGTTCAGTCCCCCAAGCAGTGGTATGGCCACATCCTGACTCCAAGATGAATGTCAGGGGCCCACATTGGGTTGCCCACACTTCTAGTCTGGTACATTCCCTGGAGCAGCACAGGCCCCCTCCTCCTCTCTCTGTCCTGTCAGCTGGGTCTCAGAGGGGTCTCGCCTGCCTGCCTGTCTCTGCCTGTGGCCCCCCACTAGCTCTGCAGGGGCCCTGTGTGGTATTGGAAGGCCTCAGGGGCCAGGCCCTGGCTCAGTCAGCAGTGTAGAAACCCAAGAGAAAGAGAAAGTTCCAGAGTGGGCAAACACTCAGGTCCAGTGGGGAAGGAGAGGAGAGGTCGGCGTGCGAGAGGGCACATGAGCTGGAAGGGGAGCCCGAGGAGCCGGGGTGAGGCACAGTGGCAGTCCCGGGCCACGTGGTTGGTGGGAAGAAGGCGCAGGAAGCAGACAGTACTGTACCACACTCTTTCAGAGGCTCATCCGACCAGTCCCGGCAGTCCCGCTGCGAGTCACACACTTTCCCGCCGTCCACGCACTCGCCACTCTTACACTGAAATCTGCGGGGCCCTTCGCAGGTGGACTCTGCGGGGGCTGGAGAGGACACAGCGCTGCAGGGGGGCAGCGCCCCAGCCCCCAGGGAGGAGCCCGAGGCCCTGACTGATGGGGCAGGGCTGGGCCTGCACCGGAAAGGGCCAGTCTGCAGAGATCAGGGATGGGGCAGCCTGGGGTCCTTTGCTCTTTGGCCTGGGGCGGAGAGGTCACTTCCTGCCCTGCCCTTTAGCCCTCCCTTCCATGGCTCAGCCAAGGGTCACTGTCCTGCTCCTGCAGGACACGGCCTCGGTGAGGGAAGCCCCTGGGAACAGACAGATACGACAGGGCGGGGCTGGTTCCATGCAGTCCTCCAGCCTCCGGGGCAGGCTGCAAAGTCCTTCACCACCCAGAGCTCAGGAGCGGGCGGGATGCTGGGGTGGGGTGGGTGGCTCACTGTCCCTGGGGCCAGGGGACTCAGTGCACACGCACCCTGCAGGCAGCCGGCTTCGTCGCTCCCATCGGGACAGTCCCGCTCCTGGTTGCAGCGCCTGATGGCGGGGACACAGGTGCCATCGGCACAGCGGAACTCATCCCCGCGGCAGGTCCCCAGCGCTGCGGACAAGGGCGAGAGGAGAGAGTCAGGCGTGCGTGGGATGGCACTGCGGGTTCCCCCCACCTCACCCCACCCTGGCCAGAGCAGAGCCAGTGACTAGAGTTTGGGCGCCATCAAAGGACACAGTGGCCAGGCCACTTCCCGAGTACAGATGGGGAGACTGAAGCTCAGAGCGGGGGGCGCAGCCTGGCGCTCTTCCTGCCAGCCCTCCCCTCCGCGAGCCCTCCTCCCTGCTGCCGTGGGGGCCTTCCCAGCCCCCAGGAGTCCGGGGGTCGGGGGTGCTGCTGGAGAGCCAGGACGTGGCGGGAGGGACGGTGCCGGAGCCACCTGGGGGGTGCTGCTGGCGAGGGGCGGGCAGGGCTGGCGCTGCCCGAGTCAGGGGCGGGAGCGCGCGCAGGGGGAGGCTGCCGGGAGGGGTCCCGCGCCAGCCCCGCCGGCCCCCCGCGGGCGCTTACGGCAGTCGGCCTCGTCCGACTCGTCCTTGCAGTCGCGGTCGCCGTCGCAGCGCCAGCCCGCGTGCACGCACTCGCCGCTGCGGCAGGCGAACTGGGCGGCGGCGGCGCAGGCGGCGGGCGCGGCCGTGGCGGGGCCCGCGCGGCCGCACGGCGGGGCCGCCTCGTCCGCGCGGTCGTCGCAGTCCAGCTGGCCGTCGCACACCCAGCGCGCGGGGATGCAGGCGCCGTCGCCGCAGCGGAACTCGCGGGGCCCGCAGGCCGGCCGGGAGCAGCCGCGCTCGTCGCTGCCGTCGCCGCAGTCGTCGTCGCCGTCGCACACGAACACGGCGGCCAGGCACGAGCGGTTGCGGCACTGGAACTCGTGCGGGGCGCACACTGCGCGGGACAGAGAGCCGGTGGGCCCGCCGGGGCACGGGGCTCCCGCCGCCCCCGCGCGCCCCGCCCCCACGCGGCCCCGGCCCGGATGCCCAGCGCCCCGCCGCGCCCCGCCCCGCGCCGCGCGCGCCCACCCCCCAAGCTCGGGCGGTCGGTCCAGCTCGGCCCGGGCCAGACTCTGCAGCAGGTGGGGTCCGAGCTGACCTCCCGCTCAGGGCAGTCGGTCCAGCTCGGCACGGGCCGGCTCGGCAGCAGGTGGGGTCCGAGCTGACCTCCCCGCCCGGGGCAGTCGGTCCAGCTCGGCCCGGGCCGGGCTCTGCAGCAGGTGGGGTCCGAGCTGACCTCCCCGCCCGGGGCAGTCGGTCCAGCTCGGACCGGGCCGGGCTCTGCAGCAGGTGGGGTCCGAGCTGACCTCCCCGCCCGGGGCAGTCGGTCCAGCTCGGCCCGGGCCAGACTCTGCAGCAGGTGGGGTCCGAGCTGACCTCCCGCTCAGGGCAGTCAGTCCAGCTCGGCACGGGCCGGGCTCTGCAGCAGGTGGGGTCCGAGCTGACCTCCCTGTCCGGGGCAGTCGGTCCAGCTCGGACCGGGCCGGGCTCTGCAGCAGGTGGGGTCCGAGCTGACCTCCCCGCCCGGGGCAGTCGGTCCAGCTCGGCCCGGGCCGGGCTCTGCAGCAGGTGGGGTCCGAGCTGACCTCCCCGCAGGAGCGCCCACAGGGCCCGTTCAGGCTGCGGCCGGGGGTCTGCCCCGAGGCCCTCCCGTCCCCTCCCTTCCCGCGGGACGGGCTGTTTTCCGAGCGGTGACCAGCTCCGCTCGGCCCCGTCCCTCCTGCAGTCCTTACACAAGCCCCAGGTGGCCGCCGCGGCGGGACCGGGGTGCAGCGCCACAGCTGCGCCACCGGGCGGCGCCCGGAGCCCGCATCTTTATTTTTCGAGTTTTATTATTGTATCTTTTTCCCCCCTTCACTGCTCTTGAACATACAATAGGTTTCCGCCCTTCACCGTGCAGGCAGCTGGAGGCAGACTCGCTGACAGCCCTTCAAGCTGCCGACAGTTGGTCTCCCCCCACCCCTGGGCCTCACGCTCTGTATCATGAGTGTGTCCCTAGAATGCGCTGGTCCTAGGAGAGTTCCTGGCCTTCCCGGCCTTCTCACCCCTACTCAGAGGGGTCTGAGCTCCACGAGGAACGGTGCTTTCTGCTGAGCTCCGCCAAGCTGCAGACCTGACAGCTGTTCTCAGCCCCGCATCCTCAAGCTTTTCCCCTGCCAGCCCACTCCCAGCACCCACGAAAAGAAGCAAGAGAAGGGGAATAACCTTCCCCTGTCTGGGAAGTGAAGCCCCAGAGCCCCCACCCCTACGCCCCTAGGAGTTGACAGGGGCCTTCCTGCCGGACATGGCCAGGTCAGAACTATCTAGCCCCCACGCTGGTGGCCTGGAGCTTCTGGGGCTGAGGAAAGGGCTGGTGATGTGGGGCAGGAAGGAGGCTCAGGCCCCCCGGAACGAGTACGGCTCCGTGTCTGTCCCTCAGGCTTTGGAACCGCCCGCCTGGGACCCATCCCAACTCCAGACTTAGAATTTAGAACATGGTGGCCCAGAACCAGCGCAGGGGACAGTATTTTCTCTGGGCTGGGAAGCATGAACCGGATGCAAATGGAGGGAGTGTGGAGTGGAGGCTGGGGTGGCAAGTGCGATCGAGCCCTGGACCCCAGCCCAGGCATGCCCCTGGCTCGCCTATCGTCACAGCCGCTTTTCCTGTCCCTCCCCAGTAATCCCGAGCTCCCCGAGGGAGGGGGCCTGGGACCCACGTCATCATGTGCCCAGAGCCTGGCACGCGGGCTGTGTCCACGCTGCAACAAGGCTCCGCTCCCCACCGGGCCCCCCACCGGGAGGGAGCTAATCCTGCGAGTGGAGCTCGGCCAGTGAGTGTGGCGGTGGCCGCGCCATCTGTTCCCGCTGAGGCTGCTGGCCGCGTGCGCCAGGCCGGGATCCGAGCAGCGGTCACCAGCCTCCAGGACCCTGCGCCCTCTCTCCGCCCCCCACCCCACCCCCAGCCCTGCTCTCCTGCACCTGCTCACAGGCCCCAGAGATGCATGGGAAGGACGAGTGGACGGTGCGGATGGCCGCGCTGACCAGCCCTGCGTCTGACCTCGGTTCCGTTCCCTCAGCCTCGGGCCCTGCCCCCACGCCTGTCTGAGCCTCAGTTTCCTCACCCGTAAAATGGGGATGATGATGGCTGCTCGTGAGGTGGTTGGGAGGATGAAAGACCATGTGTCCCACGTGCCTGCCCGTGGCGAAGGGGGGGTCACTGTCTGTTCCTCTCCGCCGCCCCCACCCACCTCAGCTCCCCCGGAACCCGGCCCTCCTGGCCAGCCCCTCTCCGCACTCACGGGTGGCACAGCCAGCCTCGTCGGCGCCGCTCTCGCAGTCCTTCTCGCCGTCACAGCGCCAGGAGGCAGGCACACACTTGTGGCTGCTGGGGCCGCAGCTCAGCTTCTCTGCAGGGCACACCTGCTTGGCTGCGGAGACACGTGCAGGGCTCAGCCAAGGGGCCCGCTGCCAGCCTGTGCCACCTGCCCCGTGGCCCTCAGACTGAGCATGGGAGGAACCTGCCCACCCCACCCTCTAGCTGCCCAGAGCTACAGCTGACCCACCAGCGTCCTGCCAAGCAGCCTTGCGGGGGTCCCTGGCCCCAGACCCACGCGCATCCTCCCAGCCTGCAGCAGTTATGGTCCAGCCACCCAGGGAAGCCCTGGCGTGTTTCTCAGCTGTGCGCCCAGAGAGATGCCAGGCGGGTTTCCGTTTGCCTTCACAGAACCCAGCCGCGCCCCAGCATAACCCACTGGCTCCTGTCCGTGCTGAGCACACGGCTGACACCAGAATCCCTGGCGCGCCCGGGCTCCATCTCTGCAATGCGGCCAGAGGCTGGCCCAGGGCAGGGCTGCAGCCCAGGGGTGGGGGGGGTCTCAGTTTGGAAGAATGAGCACCCTGATTCTCAGAGCTGGCGAGGTACATCTCCCTGAGATTCCCCTGGGGACCCCCAGACACTGCTCAGACCCCAGGACTGACTTCCTACACTTGTGGGGTCCCCAGAGGCCCAAGCTCAGAGGGTCCTAGGGTATGATGAGCACAGGGCTAGAAGTCTGGCCCCATGAGAGTCCAGCAGGACGTCAGGGGCAGGACTCAGGGTCAGGCCGCGTGGGGTCAGTCCTGCCGTGGCTGTGCCAGGTGGGTGGGGACACGGCTCCCGCTCACAGAATGTCCCGAGAGCTAAGTGACATGCTTGGGTATTGTGTGGAACAGCAGGCCCCCACACCGCAAGCGTTCCTCTGCCTGCTGTCCACACAGAAGGGATGAGGACTTGAGTCCCTATTAAGCACCACTGTATACAGGTGGTGGGCAGCACCGGGCATGGCTGAGTGGGGCAGGCGGTGACACGCTGTGTCTGCTGCGGGCCCTGGCACAGCCTACACCCTTGGTTTGCTCTGCCAGCCCGGCCACTTCCCGCTGCAGTTTGCAGAACTGAGATGGAGAAAGGGGGCGTCTGGGTCAAGGCCTCTGGGTAGACACATCATGGCCCCAAGGTCACTCCGTGGAACTCATCTCGTGAACAAGGTGGTTCATCCAACAGATTGTGGGTTCCTGGCCCCAGCTCCTGTATCCAGACCTTGAGACCCGCATCGCACCCAGCTGATGCTCTCCTAAGAGCGGCCCTGGCTGGCATCCCGTGAGTCAGCAAGATGCGATGAGCTCATCTTTCATTGTCAATGTTTTTGCTGGAGGATTCAGCTCTGTGCAGTGCCAAGGGGTTGAACCAGACCTCCTTCACATGCTCAGCCCACCAAGCCGTCTTTCCAGCCTACTTACTTTTTGTACGGGACCGTGCCTGAGAGCTTGGTTCAACTAGGATGCTTGGGGGTCAGGAGGGCCCTACCCATCATGCTCAGGGGCCCTGTGGTGGCAGAAATCGAACTCGGGGCTTTACACATTCTCGGTGTGTGCTCTACCACTGGAACTATGTCCCCAGCCCTAGCGTGTCTTCTAATTTCTCTCCCACAAAAGGGACAGGTGTTAGGTATGTGTGCAACGCCTCGGGTCTGCAATGGGATGGGGGCGGCGGTGGGGGGAGTGTGCAGGGAGATTAACAACCCCAGAGCCGGCCTCTGGAAATGGGGAAGAATTGATTGGTGCTAGGCCAGCAGGCCGGGCCAGGAGGACTTGAAATAGCCCCACTTCACCCTCAAGGGGCTAGGTAAGTTGTCCCTGGAAGGTGCAGACTCCCCCTTTCAAAGAACCCTGCAGGACCAGAGCAATAGTACAGTGGATAGGGTGCTTGCCTGGCATGTGTCAACTGGGTTCAATGCCCAGCACCCCAAATGGTCCCTCTAGCACTGCGAGGAGTGATCCCTGAGTGCAGAGCCAGAAGTAACCCCTGAGCACTGCCAGGTGTGTCTTCCACCAAAAAAAAAAAGGAGGAAAAGGAAAAGGAAAAGGAAAAGGAAGGAAGGAAGGAAGGAAGGAAGGAAGGAGGGAAGGAGAAAGAAGCTGTGCCAGGCAGGGAGCAGCAGCCCTCCAGGAAGACACTCCATCTTACCGACGAGGAACCCCAGGCTCAGAGAGGCCAGCAATTGCTCCAAAGATGCACAGCAGAGAGAGGTGGAGTCCAGGCTCCATCGACTGGACCCTCCCCACAATCTCCTGGGTAGGTCAAGAGGCAACACAAAACTGGCCCCCCACTCAGGTCCGGAATTTCAAGGGACTACGAACGCACCCCCCCGTAGCTCTAGGGAGCGGGGTGCGAGGGGCAGCCTCTGCAGACCCCGGCACTGCAGGCAGCCGCGTGAACTTTTAATGAATATTTATACAGCTAATTGCGTAACCTTTCAGCAAGGACAATGATCAAACAAGCCGTCTGCTTCCTTTCTTTATAATTAATAAGACACTGGCTGCGCCCCTAAATACATAGCTCTGATGACGGCTTCTCAAGGACACGCAGTCCTGGAGACCGGGGCCAGCACCTGCCAGGCCCGTGAGAGCCAAGTGGGCACTGGGCAGAAGGGTCAGGACCCCGTGCCACCGGGCATTGGCACCAAGGCCACTCTCAGCCCCCCATGTGCCGTTCTCCCTCCTGCACAACAGGAGGGTCCCGGGAGGAGGCTCAGAGGGCCCTGGCCTGGCCACTGCCGTCCACCGAGTCTCTGTCCCTGCCATGGTCTGGGGCTCAGTGAGGAAACTGGGGCCCTTGGCCTCAGAGCCTGGAACACCCCTGGGCTGGCCAACAGGGGCCTTTGTTTCCTCCCACAAAAAGCAAAGTGGAGAAGCAGACCTCACCCTCTGCATGATGAGCACGGCAGCAGGGGAGCCCCTGCACCTCCCCCGGTCCTCCCTCTCTCCGCCCTCCCTTCCTTCCTCACCCTCCCTCTCTCCCTCCCTGTCTCTCCACCTCTCCCTCCATCTCCCTGTCCCTCTCTCACTCTTTCATCTCTCTCCTCTCCTTCCTTCCTTCTTTCTTTCTTTCTTTCTTTCTTTCTTTCTTTCTTTCCTTCTTGCCCTTTGGGTCACACCTGGCAAGGCACAGGGGTTGCTCCTGGCTCTACACTCAGGAATTACTCCTGGCAGTGCCCAGGGGACCATATGGGATGCTGGGAATCGAACCCGGACATGGAAGGCTAACGCCCTACCGACTATGCTATCTCTCCAGCCTTTCTTTCTTTTTCTTTCTTTCTTTCTTTCTTTCTTTCTTTTTTTCTTTCTTTCTTTCATGGGTGCGATGTGAAATGCTTTGTCTGGGTGCTAACCCTCTGCCCCAAGTTCGCATTTGGGAGGCAGGAAGGACAGCCCCGGTGTGACAGCAGGAGCACCTGAGGGCCAGCCAAGGCCTGAAACAACAGCTTGAAGACACCGAGTGCCCAGACACCAAGGCCACTGGCATGGCCGATGCCTGAGCTCGGGAATGAAGAAGAAACTGCTGCCTGCAGGGAGGGGCCTCGGCGGAGGTTCAGAGAGTGTGTTGGGGTGTCAGGCCAGCAAAAGGGGACCAGAGACGCGGGGTAGGAACTCCCTGTGTCACTCAGCTGGCCTCTGCCCCAGGAAGCCCCAGAGGCGGGACCCGCACAGTAGGGACAGGTCTAGCTGCCTCTAGTCTTGGGCCAGGACTTGGGGTGAGTCGGTTCCTAATTTTAGGGTCCACTTCCTGGTTGGTAACAGGAAGGGTTGCTGGCCAGGGGTCCCACCTTTGGGTTGGGGGTCAAAGACACAGGCCGTTAGAAGCTCAACAATGCAGCAGCCAGAGGGTCCAGCCATTCACCTTGCCCTGCCCCCACCCCTCTGCGGGACCCTGATGGGACGCCCCCAATCAGAGAGCTCTGATTATCGAGCTGCTCTTCCATTAGGCAAATGTCCCCGCCCTGGCTGCCGAGACAGACCCTGAGCCAGAGGACACGGGGGCACGTGGGAAATGGGGGTGTTCCCGCGCCCCACGCCCCAGGCCCAGAGGGGCTCAAGGGTCACTGGCACTGACACGCAGGGAAGGGGGGCAAGCTTTTCGGCTGAACCGCACCCCTCCCCCACCCATTTACAGCAGGATAAAGCCAGGCACAGGGAGACTGGGCGCCCACGGGCCTGAAGCCTCAAGGTTAGAGGTCTCGAACCTGAGCTCCTCAGACACGGAATCTAGCCCACCCTCCTGCTGTGCCCTGCTTCCTCCCGGGGAGAACAGGGACCACTGGGAGCTGGCACAGGGACCTGGTGGGCTGTGGCAGTTTCTATGGCAACGCCAATTAGGTGGGCAGTGGGTTTCCTGACCGTGTTCAGGCTGTGAGCAAGTCAGTCACCAGGTCCTGCTGCCCCCAATCCTGCCTGGCCAGCCTCCTCCTCCTCCTCCTCCCATACCCCTCCTCCCTTATCCCTCCTCCTCCGGGCAGCCCTCCACATTGGCCTTGCCCCAGGAAGTGGGCACCATCCAGGGAGAGGAAGCCGTATCCGCAGTGCCCAGGCATCCTAAAGAATCTGGTCTCAGGAACGTTAGGAACCCGGGCCCAGAGGGGCGCAGGGCAAGGGAGGGTCTCCCAGCAGGCCCCTGGAAGAGCTGGCCTTGACTTCCGCCCACCGCTGGGGGAGGAGGAAGGGGGCTGGGGAGGCTCTGTCAGTCTGTCATCTCAGAGGGCAAACAGGTCAGCACTGCTCCCGAGGGTCAGCCGGGTCGGCACCCTGGCGGGCAGCAGGAGGGGGTGAGGGGGGAGGAGAGGGGCAGGCAGCAGCGGGCGGGGCCAGCGACCTTAGGGGCAGGGCAGCCTGAAAGGGGTGGAGGAGTGGGGGTGATGGAAAGCGACATCCGTGCAAAGAGGGGTGGGGCTGCTCCCCGCGGGATCGCAGCCCCCACTCACGACCCTGCGTGCGAGCGCCCACCCCGCGCCCACGGCGGCTGCGGCCCCCTCCCCGCCCCCAGGGCCAGTGCCCAGCAGCCGGACGCCTCAGTTTCCTCGGCTCCCCGCAGCAGGGGAGGAGCCGGGGGCGGGGCTCCTTTGTTCCTTCTGCAGCTGGAGCCCGGGACAAAGCCCGGCCAGCCTGGGCCTCGCGTCCACGCCTCCGCGACCCCACGCGCCGCTGCTGCCGGGACTCAGGCTCCGGGCGGGGGGCGGGGGTAAGGCAGGGCAGTGGGGCCTGGAGGCAGGGCCAGCTGGGCTGGAATCGAGGGGCGCCTGGCTCGAGTGTCCCTACTCCCTCCCGTGGAGCCGGAGGCTCTGTTGCTAGGAGACGGGAAGCTGCATCTGGGGATGGGCTTCGGGCGGGTGCTCCGCCCTGCCAGGGCAGCTGGGACCCACTGAGGCCAGCCCCACCCGCCCGGCCCAGCCCCTCCAGCCTCTCCAGGCCTCAGCGCCCTCGCTGGCGACATTCCCTGCCTGGGGAGGGTCCTGCGGTCACACTGACCGCTGGGACCAGGTCGAGCGACCACCATCAGCCCGGTCAATGGCAGCAGGGTCCTCCTCGCGGCCACTTTCGCTAGTGCAGCGGCTGGTGCCAGGGCAGGGGAGCAGAGCCAATGGCATGGGGGAAGGTCCCTGGGACCGGCCTGCACACACCCCAGGGGCCGTCCAGCTGCCCTCTCCAACGCCCCTCCCTGAGAGGAAGCTGGGCTGTGGGGCAGCACTCACTGCAGGTGGCCTCGGACTCGTCGGAGCCATCCGCACACTCCTCGTCGCCGTCACACTTCCAGCGCTCGGGGATGCAGTGGCCGTTGTCGCAGGTGAAGTCTGTGTCTGTGCAGATCTTCTTGGCTGCAGGCAAGGAGGAGGGCGTGAGGCAGGTGGGCACGTGGGGACTTTCTAGGGCACCCGGCCTGGGGCTGATGAGGTGCCCGGAGTGTGTTCTGGCTGAAAGCTGGACCCCATGACCTCTCACGGCCCCACGGGGCCACCAGTGCCTCAATGGCCAGGGGGGACAGGAAAGAAAGGGTCACTGATTTCACAGGTGTTTCCTGAGTCAGGTGGAGCCGGGTGACTCCAGGCCCTCCAGGTGTGCAAGTCCGACAGGTGACAGGATCCCTCCACCAAGGGAATGCTTGGTCCTTATGACATTCCTAGCTTACCCCAAAGTCCAGCTCCACTATCATTGCCTCCAGGAAGTCTTCCCTGATCACCTGCATCAACTGCTTTATTTAGCCCTTCAGCTGATTCTCAGTTCCTTTACATGGCTGTTCTGCGTCTCCTCAATCAGAATGAAATCAAGGCCCCTTATGCAATCATCAGGGTGCTGGTGATAATGAATCCTAAGAGCAAATGATTACTTTAGTGACAAGATTAATAAGGTATGAGATACATTAAAAGAATCATCCACCATGATCAAATGGGATTTATTCTGGGATGCAAAGACTGCTCAACATCTGCAAATCAATGTGATGCAGATATCTGTAAACCACATTAACAAAATAAAAAAATAAAATCATATGATCATCTCAATAGATGCAGAAAAAGCTTGTGACCAAATTAAAACCCATTTATGATTGAAAAAAAAACACCTCAACAGAGAGTCTGGAGGAAATGTACCACCACAGAATAAAGGGCAGGCACGCCAAGTGCCCGTGAGCAGCTCACTCAACGTGGCGGGAGGAAAACTCTTCCTCAAAGATCAGGGACAAGACAAGGACGCCCACTTCTGCCAGGTTTATCCTATGTGGTACTGGAACTCCCATCCAGAGCAATTAGGCAAGAAAAAGAAATAAAAGGCATCCGAATTAGAAGGGATGCGGAAAGACTCTCACCATCTGTAGATACTGTATCTAGAAAGCTCAAAGATTTCACCAAAACTGTTAGAATAATAAGCCAGTAAAGTTGGATACAGTTATAACGTCAGGATCAAGAACCAAAAAAAAAAAGCTGTGGCATTTCTATATCCTGATAACAAACAAACTCCCCATGGCATATTCAATATGCCGAAAACAGTAACAACAAGTCTCACAATGGAGACATTACTGGTGCCTGCTCGAGCAAATTGATGAACAATGGGAGGACAGTGCTACAGTGACAACAGACTATTAGAAAAAGAAATTAAGAAAACAATCCTGTCCACAACTGCATCAAAAATAATAAACTACCTAGGAATAAGTTTAACTAAGGAAGTGAGAAACCTGTACGTTGGAGGTGGAACCCCAAATACACGGTGAGAGAAGCCAGAAGAATATTGTCAAAATGTCCACACTGACTAGCTAAGGCGAGGTTGCCCGGATCCAACGTAGTCCCTATCAAAATTCCAATGGCATTTTTCACAGACATAGAACAATCCCAAATCTTGTTTGGAACCCCCAAAGACCGCCCCATAGCCAAAGCACCATGAAAAAGAACAAAGCGAAAAGTCTCATGCACCCTGGCTTCAAACTCCACGCATGACGAAGCTCCAGCAATGGAAACAAATTGGTGTTGGCATGACACCAGACACACGGACCAACGGAAGAGAATAAAGAGCTGGGAAATAGGTCCGTGCGTGAACATGTATGGCCAATTACTGAGAGAGGAGCCAGGGCCGGGCCGGGGGTGGGGCGGGGGGTAGTAACAGGCTCTTCAGGAAACTGAGCAACCACCTGCGAAAGAATAAAATTGAACACTCACTTACACCATACAGAAACATCAACTCAGAATGAACAGGGAAAACGGGCACGGCAGATCCGAAACCATCCAGTTCTGAGGGCCAGAACACAAGCTTTGCACAATGGGCCTTGGGTTTGGTCCCGGAGCACCAGTAGTGCCAGGCTTGACCCCCAGTAAAAAAAATGCCTAGGGGAAAACTTGGGGGGCAGGTCTTGGCAAAGGTCTTTCTGATCTCACACCAAAGGCACAGTCGATGGAAGCAAATCTGAAAGACCAGGATGACAAAGGGAAAAAGTCCTAACCAGCAAAGGGAACCGTGGATGAATGAAAAGGCGGCCTGTGATAGGGAGCAAAGCCTGCCAATCACGGATCTGAGGCAGGACCAGTAACCAAACTGTATAAGGAACCCACTCACTGAGCAGCAAAAACACCAACAATCTGATAATAACATGGGGAAGGACCAGAGAGATAATACGGCTGGGGAAGGGTTTTCAGCCTGGCCGGTCTGATCCCTGACACCCCATATTGTCCCCAGAGCCCCACCAGGAATGAGCCCTGAGTGCCGCTGCGTGTGGCCCCAAAGCAAATGAACAACAGGAAATCAAGGATGCAGCTTTGTGGTAGAGCACATGCCTCGGCACCAAGGAAACAAAATATTAATAAAATGAGCTAAAGGGACTTTACCCCAACAGACATGGGGTGGCAGGGCTAGAGCGATAGTATCGTGGGTAAGGCGTTTGCCTTGCATGCGGCTGACTCGAGGGTTCGATCCCCGGCATCCCATATGGTTCCCCGAGCACTGCCAGGAGTGATTCCTGAGGGCAGAACCAGGAGTAACCCCTGAGGCTCGCCGGGAGTGACCCCAAAGCAAATAATAATTAAAAAAAGACATGGGGGGCAATAGGGACATGAAAAGTATCAATAGCAAACAGTAAACCACATGGACGTATCACCTCCACCTCTTAGGAGGTCTGTTTTCAAACAGAATTGCTGTAGGGATGTGAAAGAGAAGAGGGGCCCTGTGCACCCCTCATGCAAATGGGGACCAGAGCATCACCAGGGGAAATTCTAGGGCGGTTCCCCCCACCAGTCAATAGAACTGGCGTGTGACTCAGCAGTTCCAGACACTAAGTGAAACATCCCTCTGTGCCCCACGTTCTCTGCAGTGGTGCCGACAATCTAAGCGTCCAGCCACGCACGGGACTCAAAGCACCGTGGAATGGGACTGAGCCCCCATGCGCATAGAATCTGCTTCCTATGACACCGTGGACGGACTGTGAAGGCAGAATGCTGAGGGAAATAGCCAGAGAACGACAAGTGTCCCTTGATATGCCAGCATGTGGAATTGAAGACACAACGCAACCTACTTCACAGATAAGGGAACAGAAGGGGCTGGGGAGATAGCGCAGGGTTAGAGCACTAGCCCTGCATGGCGGCCAACTTGGGTTCAATTCCCCGCACTGCAAATGGTCCCTCGAGCCCCACCAGGAGTGATCCCTGAGCACAGGACCAGGAGGAGGCCCCGAGCACCCACAGGAGGTGGTCTCAAACGAAAACAAGCCAAAAAAAGGGTAACAGATGGGTGAGGATGGGGAGTAACGGGAACGGCGGAAGGGGTGGAAAAGTACAAACTCTGCGTTATGAGGGAAGCCCTGGGGGTGGGCGGGCGCCGGGCAGGGTGAGTCCAGTGAATAATAATTGTCCACCACATTTAAATGTTGCTAAGACAGCGATCTTAAAAGTTCTCATGGCGGGAAAATCAACGTGCAGCCATGTGTGGTTGAGTGTTTGTTGAACACATGGCGACAGTTCTGCAACGCACACGGTTAGTGACTCGGGATGCGGGCACCACGACTGGGCCGCAGGAGGTCACAGCCGGCAGTGTCGGGTGGGGGCTCCCAAGTGCCAAGCATGTGCTCCCGCCCCGTGGGCCCTCTCTCGGCCCCCACAAACTGACAAGGCGACACTCCTGAATCTAGTGTTATTGTCAGCTGTCCCTAAAATCAAAGAATAATCGGGGCTCACTTGAAAACGATTATTTTAGAATTGGAAAAAAAAATAAAAGGGAACTCGAGGGCTGGAGCAATAGCACAGAGGGTAGGGCGTTTGCCTTGCACGCGGCCGACCCGAGTTCAATTCCCAACATCCCACATGGTCCTCCAAGCACTACCAGGAGTGATTCCTGAGAGCCAAGCCAGAAGTAACCCCTGAGCATCGCAGGGTGTGACCCAAAAAGCAAAAAATAAAAATAAATAAATAAAAGGGAGCTCGAGATGCCACTCAGTGATAGGGACATGCCTTGCTCTGGTGACGCCCTGGGTTGATGCTGGCACTGCACAATATAACCCTACTGAAGGATGAAGGGCCCAGGAAGGCCAGTCTGCTTGGAGTGGAGAGACACCAGCAGGCCTGGCCCTTACAGCCCAGAGGCAGGGATGACCCCAGGGGTAGGTGAATCGCAGCTCTGTTCCCCTCTGACCTTGGGGTGCTCCCGAGCCAGGGAGTCTCTGCTTTCTTATCTAGGGCACGGGGAGAGGCGGACGAGGGCACTCCCACCAAGTGACAGCATGAGAAGAGCCTGGGATGGCTTGGCACATGGCAGACAGATGCCCGGCCTGGAGCAGTGGCTGCAGGTCTGACGGTGTGTGCTGAGTTGGAAGCGGAGAAGACGGGGTCCTGCGTGCCCTTGGCGGGCGGGGACAGCTGGGGCAAATGCAGAGGTGGGGCTCAGGAGTGGGCACCGAGTCATACTCAGCCCAGCACAGGCCCTGGGCAGGGGTGCAGAGCTGGAGGCGATCTGAGTCTCCCCGGTCCCCACTTTTGGCACGGGGGGGGGGTGCTCTGAATAGGATGCTGCTCCTCATCTTGGCTTTGATGATCTAAATCAGTGGATGCTAGAATGGGGCACCTGGGCAGGGGGGGCATGGTGCGGGGGGCAGCTCTAGTTTGTTGGTTTGAAAATCAAGCTTTCCAGGGCGCTGAGTGACGTGTCTCACCTCCCAGCTGGGTTATGGGCCTGTTATGCCCCCACTTGGCACAAGACGTGAGGTCCAGGAGTGATTCCCCATGTTCACAGTAGAGCACAGGGGACCCCATTTTAAACTCAGACACCCCCTCCCCCGTCAGGGTGCCCCAAACAGAACGAACGCTCAGCAGCAGGGAAGAGCTGGCAGCATGGTAAACCAGCTATGGGC